CTTAAAGAGTCCACCTACCATGTTGTTATGGAAACTCAATCTGCAGGTGACCTACCTTGCAGGGTTGTGTGGGTAGTTCAAGGGGCTGGTGGCGGACTACCATATTGGTGAGAGTGTGGACACCCCACCCACCCCGGGTTTTGTAATTTTGAGCTCTGCCCACCCATAGGATGGATCCCCTGGATTGGGAATTTTTGACACCGGGTACTACCCCCAAATCACCAGGAATTTCATGAACCAGAGATGGCAACCCTATCCAAGCCCCACCAGGTGGTTAACAACCCTTTACCCTGTACATTTATGGCAAGTGGGGACTTGGTGGTAATCTCCCCAGTGGTAGTCTTCAACCCACCACCAGTGCTCCCTCTAAGATGTGGGGTCTTGTGAACAAAAAATCTACTTTGTGAGCTACTGGCACTAAAGTTGTGAGCGAGCGATTTGGCTACTGCATACATTAGTTTGCTCTGGAGCCACCCTTCCTGAGCTAAGGCAAAGATGTGTAAGCTTAGACGGAACATTGCCCACCACCCCCAGCGTCCCCAGGCACCAAAGTTCTGGCAGGTATTAAAAGTTCCAGAGAAGCCTACTGCACCGGTTCAGTTCTTTCTTGGGACCAAATCCCAAAACAGGAAAGGCAGTTGGCCTGAACACCCAATTGCCTTAATGTGCAGGATACTGCTTAAAAGCTTATTTTAAAGTTAAAAACCTGTTTTCCACCTGTTGTAGTTGTTAGTCTTGTAGTACGAAAATAAAAAGAATCTTTAAAAAAACCAAAAAACAGAATTCTCTTTGATGTGCGACACTCCTAGAGTAAGCACCTGGGCTCCCAAAGCCTGCTTAAAAATCCAGCTGCCTTTGTGATGAAGGAGGACACTGAAACCCTGGTTAGTTGCGTTACTAGAAAACTGGAAGTCGGGGTTCTGTAATGTGTAGTACAGGAGTCCCCAACCTCTTTGAGCCTGTGGGCACCTTTGAAATTCTCATACAGTGTGACGGGCCAAGCCACAAAATGGCCACCCAAAGAGGTGGAGCCCGCCACAAGATGGCTTCCGCAGCTGACCTTTAGTCACACAGTGGCCATCCTGGTGCTGTGGTGGTAGCTGCTGCCAAAGCCACATTTTAAAAGAAGGCTGCATAGCAATAATCCCTCCAAGCTGTGGGGTCTTGGGAGCAAAAATTCTACTTTGTGAGCTACTGGCATTAAAAGCTGTGAGCGAGCGATTTGGCTACTGCATAAAGCCGTTTGCTCTGGAGCAGTGTTCCCTCTAAGCTGAGTTAGTGTGAGCTAGCTCACAGTTTCTTAGCCTCCAGATCACACATTTTTGTCTTCGCTCAGGAAAGATGGCTCCAGAGCAAACTGATGCCGGAGCCAGATCGCTCACTCACAACTTTAATGCCAGCTCACAAAGTAGAAGTTTTGCTCACAAGACTCCACAGCTTAGAGGGAGCATTGCTCTGGAGCCATCCTTCCTGAGCGAAGACAAAAATGTGTGAGCCGGAGGCTAAACCTCCGAGAGTTAGCTCACAGTAACTCAGCTTAGAGGGAACACTGCTGCACAGCAAATCCACTCTCGGGTGTTCAGTCAGAAGCCTTGCTGGGTAAAAGCCCTTCCCACTTTCTAAAAACACTTGGTGGGCGCCAGTGTAGGTGCCATGGCAGGCTCCATGGAGCCAATGGCACGACATTGGGGATCCCAAGGTAGTTTTTTACCTTTTACTGCCAAATTGTAGTGCATATATGTTAGGATTGCCAGGTCTCCTCCTCGCTCTGGGGGTGAGCAGCCCTGCCCCCAAACGCGACCACACGCCTGGCCAACCCTCCTGCCCGATTTAAAGGGCTTCGGGTGCTTGGGGGGGGGGACCACGTGGCCCGCCGATCAGCTGGAGGGCCCTTTAAATCTAGCAGGAGGGAGGGAGAGGGGCGGTCACGGGCTGCACACACAGCTTGCAAAAGGACCCAAAGTCTTTTTGCGCACCAAGTGTGCAGCCTGTGACCGCCCCCTCCCTCCCTCCTGCTAGATTTAAAGGCCCCTCCAGCTGATTGGCAGGCCATGGGTCCGCCCCCCAGCAGCTGAAACCCTTTAAATCGGGCAGGAGAGGGGTGGCCAGGCGAGTGGTCGCACTTGGGGGTGGGGTTTCCCCACCCATCAGCTGGTTGGGGGAGGATTGGAGCCCCCCAAAGCGGTGGAACCCCTTCCCAGACCTGGCACCCCTAGTATGTGTACACCTATGCTATCATACTTTATTTTTAGAAGCTTTCAGTTACATGTTTGCTTTTAGCCTTATTTTGGGGATCAAAATATGTCCTTTTTGGCTACGGGGGGGTTGGATCTTTTTGTTTCTACTGTAGTCTGTTACAAAACTCTACTAAACGTTTTATTTCAGGCTGTTTATTGGCCTTAAAAATAAGTGGCTAACTGTAATGTCTTAATGATCATACCATTTTATTTTGTAAGTAGTCAGAGTCAGATAATGATTTTATGCCTCTCTCTTCTTTTAGCCGTTTACAGCAGTGGTTTACAACCTAAGGGTCAGGATCCCCTTGAGGGCTGTGTGAAGCCCCACCAGTGTGAACCACTGTAATTGTTGTTTGTGATGGGGGGAGAGGCCTTTTAGAAGGGCCAGGTTTTCATTTGCAGATGTAAAAAACAAGAACCTCAGAATAGCCCTGCTGGATCAGACCAGTGGTCCATCTATTCCAGCATCCCCTCTCACACAGTGGTCAACCCATTCCTCTGGACGGCTAACGGCATACAGGCCGAGGCCTTCCCCTGGTAAGAACATCAGAAGAGCCCTGCTGGATCAGACCAGTGGCTCATCCAGTCCAGCATCCCCTCTCACACAGTGGCCAACCAGTTCCTCTGGAGGGACAACAGGGCAGAGAGGCCGAGGCCTTCCCCTGATGTTGCCTCTTGGCTCTGGGATTCAGAGGTTGACTGCCTCTGAATATGGAGGTGTCATGCTCAGTATGCATTTTATAGTTCACCTACCATGGAGGAAGGAGGAGGGGTGTGAAAACCAAATGCTTTCATCTTCCTAGATGCTTTGATGTGTGGCAGAGACCTATTGTTTCGCTTTTCGTGCTTAGTGGGGGGGGGGGGTAGTTGACCATTATTTCTGGTGGGTAAATGCCGTGTGGTGATTGGGTCCTGATCTTCAGTGCCTTTGCTTGAACACAATATATCTGCAATCTCCGCGCTTTCATCTTCAGTCCTAACAAAGCTTGTGTTCGTATGGTATTCTTCAGCGTCTCAATAAATTAAACTTTCTTCGAAGTGAGTGGTGTTGAGAACTAATTTAACCAGGATTCTGACAGGAGGTTCCCTTTAGTCACCATGGCTACTGGCCACTGATAGTCATCTCCGCCATGACTAACTCCTCTGGCAACCAATTCCACATTTAAATCACTCTCAGTGTAAAGAAGTATTTCCCTTTGTCCGTCCTGAATCTAGTGTCCATCAGCTTCACTGGATGCCCTTGAGTTCTAGTATTTTGGGAGAGGAAGTTCTCTTTGTCAGCTCTCCCCACCCAGTGCATAATTGTCTAAGCCTTAGCCACGCCCCTCCCAATGATCGCTTTTGTAAACGCAAAGTCCCACACTATTCAGCCTTTCCTCATAGGGAAGGTGCTCTGATTCCCTAATCATCTTGGTTGCCCTCCTCTATTCTTTTCCCAGCTCTGCAATGTCCTTTTTGAGACACAGTGACCAGAACTGTACTTAGTATTCCAAATGAGGCTGCACCATAGATGCTGGCATTACAATATCTGCTGTTTTATTCTCAATCTCTTTCTTAATAATCCCTAACATAGTTTGCCTTTTTCACTGCTGCAGCATATGAGATTCTCAATCTCTTTCTTAATAATCCCTAATGCCTCAGCAAATTCAGACTCCATTAGCCTATACTTGAACATGCACCCCATGCACTCTTATGCATGCACCCTAAGATAAGCAAAATGGAAGTCGCACTTGGTGGAAAGCGTTCATTTTCAGCAGATTCAGATGTTGGGCTCCTCCCCCTTTGCTGTCATGTGACTCTCATGGCATGTAACTTCCTGTCACCAGGTTAAAAACGGATCTGGAAAAGCTGGAGACCACCAGCTTACACAATCTACGTACACCCACAACATGTGCAAACACACACACTGTCAAAAATCTCTCTGTATTGATACACCAAAAGTCCAATATTTAAAAAAAAAAAATCTGTCAAAGGCAAATGTGGTTATTTAAAATTAAGGCATGTTTGGCTAAAATGCAACTGTCAAAGAAAAAAGAACGGTCCGTTTCATAAGGCACTGAGGTACACAAAACAAGATCCTGCAACGATGAACTGCATCATATCTAATATAAAGAGATAAATACCACTGGCAATTTTTCCTCGGCAGTCATTCATCTGTTCTTAGTAACCTGGTCCTTGATATAAGGGCTTCTCAAATGACTTTGACTGTGAACACCACAATCAACCCACTGTGATCTAAGGTAGTATATAATGATATCCACTCAGGATATTAGGTCTTTATATTAGAAAAGGGGTAACGTGCGCTTAAAATTTTCTGTGCCACACTCCATTAGGGTACATGAGCCAACCATGTTGACAAAGTTGGGTATTCAGTCATGAATGGAACATTCAGTCATATATCCGGAGTCTTAATTCCTGTCCGAAAGTGTCACTGTTGTTCTTTACAGTTAACCGGATCTAGGCTCAGCGTATAAATGCTTCATGTTTGGCAGGTTCATTATCAACACTGTAATAAACCTATTTCAGTATTTAAAGAAAATATCCTCTTGCTCGGTAGGCTTTTTGAGTTATCGATGAGTGTTCTTGGAACAAAAGATCTCTAGTGCCATGACGTTCTGGAAGTCTGGTTGTTTAGCAATTTGTAAGAATCACAACCAGGTGACAGATTGCAATGTTCTCTTGGGCACTTAAGGTTCACAGCATAAATATTAACAACTCGGAATCTGGAACAATAAATATTGTAAAACAAACTGAATGGAGAATTATAACTTGGAACATTTGTTCTTGACAAACACTTGTAAAAAAAAAGCTAGGATTTTGTGTTTTCTGGGTTTTTTGGTTTTTTTAAAATAACTACTAACAAAATAGTCCATTTACAGAAGGGTCAATCGTTCTATGGTAACAATTCTCAATTCCTACTATAAGACGGTGCTTGTCCATTGCCAAAGGGCACTATTTAGGATTTGGAGTATCTCCATCCAGTAGATTCAATGTGTAAGAGCAACTGGTCTAGGTAGGTTGGAGAACGGTGTTTGTGCAGGACAGCTTTGATTTGTTCAGCCAGCAGATCTGGATAGAGAATCCCTCCTTCTTTCAAAATATCTGCAAAAATAGAAAGTTCTGCAATTACTGGGTTTATGCTTTGCTTCCAACAGATTTTTATTTTTTTAACAAAAAACACATTTCCAAAAAAACTTGATTTCCAAAATTGCATGAAAGGCATGCAACTTTTCTGAAATTCCAGAACACCAATATTCCAAACAAAATCAGGGAGGTGCCCTGTTCAGTTTATTGGTATGTCTGAACAGATTTCCAGAAACATACAGAATGGCGACAGCTTACCAGTGCTTGCAAGCATACTTTGACAATACTCTGTTATGGTGAGATTGTCAAGCGATGATGCCCAGGCAAATTTGTGCGGGACGCATGAAATGTTATTGAGAAACATTTCCCTCAGCCACATCCAGGAGACTTTATCCCAGTTAACTTGCCTCAAAATGGATCTCTCAGAGGACAGAAATACAAACTCCCCTCCTTCGCTGAAGAAAAAACAGGTTGCTTACCTGTAACTGGTGATCTTCGAGTGGTCATCTGTGCATTCACACCCATGGGATCTAGTGCGCACGCGCTGGATTGATCGGTGCTGTAGCAAGCTCTTTTAACGGATTTCCGCGCCCAGTCCCTCGGGCATGCGCAGGAACCCCACCGTGCATGCCCCAGAGGGGTGGGCGCGGACATCCCACCAGTTCCTTCAAACCGCCGCAAATCAACCCCTATTAAAAATGTAGAAGCTGACAGCAGCGGGGAAGGAGGGCGGGTGGTGTGAATGCACAGATGACCACTCAAAGATCACCAGTTACAGGTAAGCAACCTGTTTATCTTCAACGTGGTCTCTGTGCTTCACACCCATGGGAGATTAGCGAGCAGTAGCCTACCTGGAGGAGGGTGCTGGCAGGTCTTTTACTGCATAGCCGAAGACAGAATGTGATGTTCCATGCTGGTATTGGTGTTTGTACGGACGTCTAGGGTGTAGTGCCTTATGAAGGTATTAGGTGTGGCCCACGTAGTGGCTTTGCAAATGTCCGTCAGTGGCACTCCCTGGAGGAAGGCAGTGGAAGTCGCGACAGCCCTGGTAGAATGAGCCCTGATAGGGCCAGGCAATGGCTGTTTGGCGATCTGGTAACAGAGACGGATGAGACCCACAATCCAGTTTGACAGGCGCTGGGCCGGGATGCGAGTGCCCAATCATGCTGACGCGTAAGAGATGAACAGTTGTGCATCTTGTCTAGTCGGGCGTGTCCTATTGAGGTAGAACAGGAGAGCACGCTTCACGTCCAAGGTGTGGAGTAGTTTGTCTTCCGCTGATGTTGGATTTGGGAAGAAATCAGGGAGGAAGACCTCCGCCTGCAGGTGGAACTTTGACACCACCTTCGGCAGGAAGGAGATGTCTGGGACGAGGCGGACTCCGTCTGGCAAAAATGACAGGTAAGGGTGCATCGTGCCGGAAAGCCAATATATCTCCCACTCGTCTAGCCGAGGTGACAGCAATTAAAAAGGTCGTTTTCCATGCTAGAAGTTTGAGGTCGCATGTCGCGAGTGGCTCAAAGGGCTTCCTCGTGAGCTGGCGGAGAACTAGAGGAAGGTCCCAGGGAGCGACTGGAGTCTTGACAGGAGGATAGAGACGCAATAAACCTTTTAAAAAACATTTTGAAATTGGATGTGAAAACAAAGTACATCCGTCAACTGGAACATGGTAGGCAATGGCTGCCAAATAAACTCTCAACGAAGAATGGCAAAGTCCCGAGTCAGCTAGGGACAGGAGGAATTGGAAAACCTGTTCGAGCCCCGCTGAGGCGGCTCAAGGGGCGTCATCACCTAGGGAAGAACAGAATCTTCACCATTTATAATCATACGACCTCCGCGTAATAGGTTTCCTGGAATTCAACAAGACGTTCGTTACGCGGGTGGAGAAGCCGGTGATGGTATTCTCCATGCCGTCAGTTTCAATTGTGGTATGTCGTGATGTAAGAGGGGAGTCGGAGAGGAGGAGGAGGTCCTGAGCCGGAGGGAATTGATGGTATATCCCCTGTGATAACTCAAGGACTGTTGAAAACCAAGGTTGTCTCGGCCACCATGGGGTTAGTAAGATGCAGTCCGCGCCATCTCTGAGTATTTTGCAGACCACTCTCAGAAGCAGAGGCAAGGGCGGGAACAGGTAAAGAAGTCCCGTGGACCAAGGGTAAAGGAGACCAGCTCCCAGAGATTGTGGGTCCCTGCCTCCTCGACTGCAGAACACAGGACACTTTTTGTTGTTCCTGGTGGCAAAGACATCAACTTGGGGAGCTCCCCACATGTGGAAGAATGGGAGGAGGTATGTTGGGTTCATTCCCCACTCGTCAAGGCTGATTCCTCCTCGACTTAGGTGGTCTGCCTGTACGTTCATGTGTCTGGGAATGTGAGTGGCCATGAGGAAAATGTTGTTGGCGATGCAAAGCTTCCACAATTGGATGGCAAGGTTTCAGAGGCGTAGGGAAACAGTGCCTCCCTGTCTGTTGACATAAGAGAGCGCTGGGGTGTTGTCTGTGAGGACCGTGACACATTTCCCCTTGATTAAAGGTAGGAAGCTGGTGATAGCGTGTTGTATAGCCAGCAGTTCTAGGAAGTTCATGTGTCTCTTCCTCATCTGCGCGTCCCATTTGTCTCCAACAGAAAGACCCATGGAGTGTGCACCCCATCCTGTCAGGGAAGCATCTGTCGTTATGGTGACTTCGGATGACAGAGTGTGGAAGGGCGCTCCCTGTAGGATATTTGAAGGGACAGTCCACCAAAGTAATGAGTCCTGTATGCTGGGAAGAGGGGATAGGACGACAGTGTGTGCGTTTTTCGACAGGTCGTAGTTGCGGATAAACCAGAGCTGTAATGGGCGCATTTTGAGTCTTGCAAAGACGAGAACTGACGTAGTTGCAGCCATCAGGCCGAGCAGTATCTGAATTTGGAAGGCCGTGACGGAGGGTTGGGTACGGACGACGGTGGCTAAGGAAATGATATCTGTTGCCCTGTCGTGGGGCAGGTAAGCCATGCATGTCCTTGAATCCAGTATTGCGCTGATGTACTGTATTCGCTGGACCAGACACAGTTGAGACTTTTGTCGACTGACTCGCAGGCCCAGATTCTCCAATAGTGCTAGAGTCTCTGTGACATTGGAGACCAGGGTGTCCCTGGAAGGCGCTACCAGAAGCCAATCGTCTATATATGGGTAGATGGAGATACCCCGGAGACGGAGGAAAGCTGCAACCACAATCATAGTCTTTGTGAAGACCCTTGGGGCGCTGGACAGGCCGAATGGAAGGGCCGTATACTGGTAGTGCTGTTGACCAATCGCAAAGCGTAGGTACTGGCAGTGGAAGGGGTGGATAGTAAGGTGGAAATATGCGTTTTGGAGGTCGAGAGTGGCCATCCAGACGTGTCTGCGAAGCAATGGCGTGATCTGTTGTAGGGACACCATGCGGAAACGGTGGTAGGTCACAAAGAATTTTGGTTTCTGGAAGGCGGGCTTTTGGCCTCCCGAAGACGTTCTTGGTCTCCATCGTGTCTCTGGAGACTGATGAGTTGGGGTACGCCTCTGCCAGGACCTCGACCAGATGCGTGGACGGTATGGTTGACTTGCAGAGGATGAGACTCCTAGAGCTCGAGACGCCTTTATGCTTTTATCTAACTCCTGTAGAATCCGTAGTGGCATTGAAAAGCCTCAGGCCATCGAAGGGAAGGTCTTCCACATAAGATCTGGTACCTATTGGTAGATTAGTGTTGCGGAGCCAGGAATGTCTCCTGAGAGCTATTGCAGAGGCCATAGTTCTGGAAGACGCCTCAAGGACATGCTTAGTATTGTTGAGCTGTTGTTTTGCCAACACCATGCCTTCTTTCTGTATGACTCTGTCTGACTGAAGTTTGTCGTCTGGGAGGTGGCTGAGAAGTTCTGAGAACCGTTCCCAGAGAGTATATTGATATCGGTTCATACAGGCCAAGTAATTAGTGCCCTTGACTCCTAATGCTCCCGTGGAGTAGAAGCGCCTGCCAAAGGCATCTAATTTCTTACCTTCCTTGTCAGAAGGTGCGGAATGAGTCCTCTTGGATTTGGAGGAAGATGTTATCACCAGCGAGTTAGGCTGAGGGTGCGAGAAGAGGAATTCGGCATCTGCCTCTTGGACCCTGTACATGTGGTCCAGTCGTCTCGTGGACACAGGGGCAGACGAAGGTTTTAGCCATGGCGTCTTCACCGCTTGCAGAAGGGCAGAAGACATAGGCAATGCCAAGGTGGAAGAGGTATCAAGCTGAACTATATCATAAACCGCATCTGTTGCCTGTGGATGTTGCTGGACAACAGAAAGGTTTAAAGAGTGGGCCATTCTTTTGACCAAATCCATGTATGACGTAAGGTTGTCAGATGGGGATACGGGTAAGTCCTCAGCGACATCCTGGTTGGGGGATTTATGGTCAGGAGAGGTATGAACCTCAGACGCCTCCGTATCTGAGTCCTCTTCTATGTAGTCAGAGGAGTCTTGTTGTATTTGGACCGATGTGTCCTGTCGACAAGTTATGGGTTTAGTTGTGACGACAGGGATTGGAGTGACCGGAGGGTTGAGAGGACGACTTGGTTCCAGAGAATGATGGTCGTCTGGAGGAGGACGTGACAGATATGCCAAAGGTCTCGATTTGTGGGGCGACCTCGATCTATGAATAGAGTGGGCGATCCCAATCTGAATAGGCCGCCGGAGTCAACCAGGGCATGGATGGTGGATAAGCCCCATACAGGTACCTTAACTGTCGTTGATTCCAAGATATTGGTGGAGGGGGCAGGAAGACTGGGGGATCGACTTCTGAATCATGGACGTCTGGGAGACAAAGCAGTAGCCTGTCTGTGAGAATCGTCCCTGTAGTCTCAGGTGTCGATATCGACAGAGTGACTGTGCAGATGTGTAGTATATCGGTGCCGACGTGGATCGATGTCGGGAGCTTCGAATACCGTCGATGTCGACGACGGGGAAGGAGACGGAGAAGGCTCTGCATCCATTAGGAGCTCTACCATTTCGATGTCGGAGTAGACATGGCGGTAAGAAAGGAACTGGCGGGATGTCCGCGCCCACCCCTCTGGGCATGCGCGTTGGGGTTCCTGCACATGCCCGAGGGACTGGGCACGAAAATCCGTTAAAAGAGCTTGCTACAGCACCGATCGATCCAGCGCGTGCACACTAGATCCCATGGGTGTGAAGCACAGAGACCACGTTGAAGATCTGGTGATTATATTCAAAACCCTCGTTTTAAAAGAATTTTGAATTCCTTGCATGAACACAAAAGTATTCTGATGCTTGTCCCACAATTAATATTTTTTATTAGCTTCAGTTTTTCTAAAATCCTTTCTGCCCCTGTTCAGCCGTCCTCTTAACTAGAAGGTTTGTACAAAAAAACCAGTCTCACTGACAGTCCCTTTCAATCAAGGGGTGGGACAGAACTGGTTGTCTGGGGGTGGGGTGGGGGTGGCCCCGTGCCGTACTCGCCTGCTCCAGAGGAGATGTTGGCGGGGGATGGCCTCACCCAGTCACCGTTGAGGCAGGCAGCCCAACAAGAGGTTGTGGGGAAAGCAACAAGGATGACTCGCCTGTTTCCAGACATGGACCGCCAGTGGCCTTAGAGCCTGGTAGGCCTAGTCCAGTGCAGGCCTCAGATGGGGCTCGCCTAGTAACAGGCCGGAGGAGGTCAGCAGCAGCTGCGGCCCCCTGGAGCCTGGGCAGGCAGGAAGAACAGCCCCTTGAAACAAGAGAAGGCCAGGGAGGCCATCGGCCCAGATCCCCTTAATTCACCAGGAGCCCACCACTGAAGAGACTGCCCTGGGGGAGTCCAGGGTCAGCCAATCCCCAGGAAATCCTTTATTAGACAGGCCCAGGGACCGCCAGGGAGGAAAGGCAAGACCTTTCCCACGTCAGTCAACCAAAGGTTGACGGCCAGAGGGAGAGAAAGACGCTCCAAGGGTGTTGTCGACCCCCCCCTGAATTCTGAGACCCTTCCTGAGGCAGGCCAACAAAAAGGAAAACCTGAAGGGCTTGGTGGCCCAGGACCCTGACCCAGGCAAGCCAGGGAGGAAAGGCAAGACCTTTCCCACGTCAGTCAATCAAAGGTTGCCGGCCAGAGGGAGAGAGAGACGTTCCAAGGGTGTTGCTGTACCCTGCTCCACTCTGAGACCCTTCCTGAGGCACAGCCAACAAAAAGAAAAACAGGACCCTGACCCAGGTGAGGAACAGCTGGACACTGGTGAAATGGCCCTAGGGCCTGGGTCAGGGCCTTTTTTGAGTTGTGCTCCTCCAAAACCAGTTCCCCTCTTGAGACCTGAGGCCAGATACACACAATACAAACTTTACCAGTTTGGTGTAGTCGTTAGGAGCACGGACTCTAATCTGGGAGAACCGGCTTTGATTCCCCACTCCTCCACATGCAGCTGCTGGTGTGACCCTGGGTCAGTCACAAGTTCTCTCAGAGCTTTTCTCTCAAGAGCTCTCTCAGCCCCGCCTACCTCACAGGGTGTCTGTTGTGGGGATGGGAAAGGAAAGGCGTTTGTAAGCTGCTCTGAGACTCCTTCGGGTAGTGAAGGGCAGGGTATAAATCCAATCTCTTCTCTTCTCCTTAGAAATCGTCTAGCATGGGATTCACTGTGGCCACGCACTGCCAGGGGGAGAGCTTGCTTCCATCAAGCCCTGAGCTTCTTCCAGCTGCTCAGCGTCAGGATTACAGGAACTGCTGCCTGGAACCGTGTCGCAGTCTGCCAGGGGGAGCTTTTCCATGCCTTCTGCAAAGCTCCCACCTCTTCCTCTCTGCTTAGCTCCTGCCCCCCCCCAGTTTTTCTTTTTTTGTTCTGTTGCCTTTCTTGGTCCCCCATAGCAAAGTCCCACACCTTCTCAAGGATGGCCAAACACACATGGAGGCATGATGATGTTCGGCAAACACTCGAGGCACTTCAGATGCCCATCAAGCACAAGGTTGTCCCGCTGCATCGCTCCGGCGGACCAAGGCACCACCTCTCTTTTCTGACCCCCCCCCCCTTAGGCATCTTGCGATACGCCGGCTGCCACCACAGAGAGACCAGCCAATGAATCCAGTTCTTGGAAGCAAATCCTGAAAGCACCCGAGGCTTACCCAAGACGGCCAGCTGGATGTTTTGGTTGGGGTCATCCAGTTCAACCAACAGCTCCTGGTAGAGAAACTCGATGTTGGTTTTCAGTAGGGCCTTCTTGTCGTCGTCGACACATCGGAACCAGGAGACCAGGGCTTTCGCGGCTTCTAGTCGGACATCGTGAGACGCGTCGTCCAAACGCTTCAACAGTTCTGAAAACACACACACACAGAAACAGCGGTATCAGGAGTGGCTACCTGTGAATTGGAGAATTCAATTCATTCCCTGCCCTCAAGCCAATGAGGTTCTCAGAGTCTCAGGCACACAGAAGTGGTCCATATAGTAAAAAAAAGTTACAGGACTCCCCCCCCAAGCAAGTAAGTTAGTTCTTTGCCCTGACCTGGATAGTCAGATCTCAGAAGCTAAGCAGGGTCGGCCCTGGGTAGTGTTTGGATGGGAGACCGCCAAGGAATACCACGGTTGCTATGCAAAGGCAGGCAATGGCGACTTTTGATCAGAATTTATAAGCCGGAAGTGTCCTGGAGTTAGCCATTAAACTTTGATCATCTACACAATGTTGGGAAACAATTATTTTAAACCCTACAAATATTTACAGCGTCTTGTGCCACAAGTGGCCAGCACGTGGCACAGGTGTAGACAAGGATAGAAAACCGAAGGCACAGGTCAGGCCTGTCCCCTGCTGCTGTCCTGAAGACTGTAAGGGGGGGGGAATGCAGCAGGGCACATCTGTAATGCCGTATGTAGGAGAGTGGTAGATTGTCTGTGGGTGCCTGAAACAGTGGGGTGCCCAAGCCATGCGACTGTACCAGGATAAATGGTGGTGAGCTTCTCAGGTTGAAACTGCTTCCCGCTGACCTCCAGGAAAACACCGATTATTTGACAGGAGAGCGAGCGGGTCATTTTGGAATCCTCGTCCAGCGTGGCCAGGATCTGGGGCAGCAGCAAACGCTCGACGTTCAGAGTCTGCAACCGAGAACAGGGATTGCCGCCTTAACGAGACCCCACCACCACCACGCTCTCAGCTGACCGATTGATTACGAACAGCAAGTCGGCAGGACGCAGCTGGAGGCAAGCCCTGGCACAAGCACAAAATGGGGCTCAGCGCTGGAAGGAAGTCAAGAAACTAAGAGTGGGTTCACACGCTGTCTATTCAGAGGCCCTCCCTCCTTGCAGATTTCCCCTTTATATGCAGCACAGGATGGAAAACCAGAGGGGGGATGGTAGTGGTGGTTAAGATTTCTGCTGGGGGGGGGGGAGGAGGAGATGGGTTAAGGCAGGAGGAGGGAGTCGGCTCCAGGGGAGAGGAGGAGGCGCACACAATGCTGTGAACCCAGCCCTGAGCTCTTTCCTGTTACCGCTTGGTGTACTGCTGGGACTGTAATGAAATGTTTCAGAAAGGTGCTAAAGCTAAAGGGATATATTGTAAGCCACCTTGAGTTCTGCCAGGGAGAAAGGCGACTAATAAATGTTTTACATGAATAACAAAGACTGTGGATGACGCAACTGCACATTTAGCATCGTATACCCTTGACCGAAGAACGGTACACTCCTTCTATCTGGGATGGTCGTCCTCTTCCACCGAGCGCGCAGCTTCGGGAGGGACGCACATGGAGCGGTGAGGGAGGTAGGGGACACCCGCCTAGCCAGCCAGATCAGCCGAATCAACCCTGGCGATCAATGGGGTGACAGATGTCGCAGCCAGATCGCCCTCACATTTAGCATCCGTTGCTGTATGGTCCTCCTATGTAATTTCTGCATCGTTTTAATGCGTCACATTAACACTTCTGCCTTGCGTCAGCTCCCCTTTTAGCCTTCACTGCAATCTGAACCCTATGACTCTGTTTATTGGATGCCCCATCCTCTCAACAGGGCCCGTAGCCTGGGGTTTTTTTTGTTCGGTGGGGGCATTTGAATTTCTAAGGGGGCAGTTAAATTACAGTTCATTAAATTAATCTGAGTGCCTGTCTTTAAAGGGGGAGGCTCCGAGCAAGTTTCTAGCCCTTTCAGGGGACAGGGCAGCGAGCGCATCAGTCCCTAAGAAAAAACAGCTCACAGGCAGGGTTCCCTCTAAGCTGAGTTAGTGTGAGCCAACTCACAGTTTTTCAGCCTCCAGCTCACAAATTTTTGTCTCAACTCAGGAAGGACGGCTCAAGAGCAAACTAATTTATGCAGTAGCCAAATTGCTCACTCACAACTTTAATGCCAGTGGCTCACAAAGTAGAATTTCTGCTCACAAGACTCCACAGCTTAGAGGGAGCATTGCTCACAGGGCATTTAAATGCCTTTTGAGTTCCCTTCCCAAAGGCTCATGGGGATGCTTCTGAAAGTCTCACCGTGACCCAGGGGCCCTACAGCAGGACTGGGCTAGCAGAAAGGGGATGTATTGAGTGCCCTTCTGAGCTTTCTTGCCCTGTGGAAGGGAACCCAGAAGGCAATTAGATGCCTTCAGATTCCTTCTGAAGGCAATTAGATGCCTTCTGAGCTGTCTTTTCCCAGGTCCCATGATACCCCCCCCCATTCCACAGTTGGAGGGAGAGGGAAGCCCGAGGGCAAGCTGTGGCGTTCTCAGCCGCTGCCAGCAGCAGGTGCGGGGATGTAAATGTTTCTTGAGTATTAAGACCTCAGCACCGGATGTGAAAATTGCCCAGAAAAATCTGCTTTTCTCCGGAATTCCAGAAGATGGTGCTCATGTTCAAATTTAAGCTGTCTCGCCTTGACTTAACAGTTTCCAGCCTTTCCAGACCTGAAATCCAGCTTTAACCCTTTGTTGTAACCACTGTCCCCCCCCATTTCCTCCTCATATTTTCTCCTGTTTTCTCTGTTCTCCCCTTTCTCCCCCCACCCCCCAGCTCCTGCCTTGAGGTACAAATAAAAGCCCAAGCAAAAAACAACAGAAAAGAGAAGAGAATGGCAGCAGTGACGCTGGCACCACCTTTCACAGATCAGAGATGACCCACTGTTGTTTCCTGTGTATGCAGGAATTTAACCAGGGGTGTCAAACATGCGGCCTGGGGGCCAGATGAGGCCCCCGGAGGGCTTCCATCAGGCCGGCAGTGGAACTGGCCATCTCCCGCTTCCAGTTCTGCTGCTGCTGCTGTCTCATAGCTTGCTTCGCCGGACTCAGCCATTCCATGTTTTAACCTGGGTCCTAGACTCAGAACTCTGAGCATGAGATTCCTGTGGCGAATGTCAATAAATCAAAAGTAGGTTTGCAGCTTACAGAGCTAATGTTTTAAGCATGTTCTCATTTTAAGTAAAAAATAATAATCTTTGTGTTTGTGTCCTTCATAAAGTTTATATCTCCGCTACCTGGCATTACATTTTATGGCACACATATCCCAGCCCGACAAGGTCTCATGGTCTCATTTATGTCAGATCTGGCCCTCGTAACAAATGAGTTCGACACCCCTGCTATAAACCATGCAATTTCCTTTGGGCTAAAAGGCCTACTCCTCTCTGGGCACCCAACAGCACCCTTCTGCTCTCGTGAAAACACACAGAGAGCGGATGTTCTGGGTTCCTCTTATTTATTTATTTTCTTCCATATTTATAGCTCTCCCTTCCACTGAGCGGGCTCAGGGCGGGTAACAGTGGGAGTGCCCTGCGATCTAATCTTCCAAAACAAGTCCATCTTACTGTCTTGGCTGTGAAGACTGTCCCAAGGCCTAAGCAGAGAGGAGGTGTCAAAATGAAAAATCCATTAACTGTGGCAGGACTCCCAAAACATAAAAGAGGTTTCAGATGTTCCTTAACTGGGTTTTTACAGCACCAAATATGGATGTGCGTATGTGTCATAGATGCAACGAAAGGCAGTGACGGAGGGTTGGGTACGGACAACTTCAGAGGACGGTGGAAGACAGGAAGACCTGGCGTGATCTGGTCCATGGGGTCGTGAGGAGTCAGACTCGACTGTGTGACTGAACAACAACAAAAATGTGTGTAACTACATAGGAACATAAGAGAAGCCAATGTTGGATGAGGCCAATGGCCCATCCAGTCCACACTCTGTCACACAGTGGCCAGAAATAACAGGGGCCATCAGGAGGTCCAGCAGTGGGGCCGGGACACTAGAAGCCCTCCCACTGTTGCTCCCCTCCCCCCAAGCACCAAGAATACAGAGCATCACTTGCCCCAGACTGAGAGTTCCTATTTATCCCTTGTGGCTCATAGCCACTGATGGACCTCTGCTCCATATGTTTATCTAATTCCCCCTTGAAGCTGTCCATGCTTGTAGCCGCCGCCGCCACCTCCTGTGGCAGTAAGTTCCATGTGTTAATCACTCTTTGGGTGAAGAAGGACTTCCTTTTATCTGTTCTAACCCGACTGCTCAGCAATCTTATTGAGTGCCCATAAGCTTTACTCCTTCACATCTGAAAACTGTCCAGTCCAAATGCCTTTGTCATCTAGTGTCAATTTATAAGTTCGGATGGGAAATTTCCACCTTCTCTCTAGGCCTGTATTTTTTGCCTAGGCTAGAATTTAATTTAAAAAAAACAAAAAACAAAAAAACAGCTTGCATTTTGGGACCTCTGTATTCCACGCTGGGTTTTACAGTACGGCCGAGGGAGGGGGGGGGGAGACACACCTCTTCTGGCGAGAGCAGCCCACTGTCGATCAGAGCCCAGAGGCAGGACACTGCCGTGGTGCGGATGGCAGCTGCCGTCCTTCCCCCTCGCCACTGCAGGTTAGGAGCCAGGATGTCTTTTATCACGATCTCAAGGTAGTTACAAAACTGCCTGGAGCCAAGAAACATGAACGGCAAGAAAGAAAAGAGAAAAAACAAAAACAAAATGAAAGCTTTGTGCGAACGTGACGGAATGACTGGGGGAGAGATGAAAAGACACTTTTTTCCCCCCCTTCCCAAGTCTCGAAAACAAGATAGCCAGAAGAGGGAAGAAAGGGCATGAAAAGGGAGGGTTTTTTTTTAACCTAACACGATGACAGTGCACGTTAACAATATTTCATTACTTAAACTTCTTCTCGAGGGGGGTGATGGGGGGGAGAGGAGAGATGCTGACTTTGTATAAACAACATCTCAGGATGAAGAGAGGCGGAAATCTTTTCAGTTCCCGGCTCTGCCACTAACACACCTTGTCATCCAGGCAGGCCCTTTACGCTGGTGTAATCAGAGGAGGCCACTCCACGCTGACATGAAAAGGCCTCCACTAGGGGAATGTAAAATGAGAATGCAGGATGGTTACTGAGACAAGGCACCTTGTTGGTAAGACTGCAACATCAGCCAACCGCTGGATATTTTGCTCTCTGAAAATTCATTTCAAATGCCAGCTTTTCTTTGCGTTGGGAGCTAGGATCAGCTTTTTAGACAGTCAAGCATGCATTGACGACCGGACGTGGACAAAGACCGAGCGGAGTTTGCAACGCCCTTAGTTAAGTACAGCAACTAAGAAAGAGTCAAAATACCAAAAGGCTGGACTCTACGACTGCCTTCGGCTAAGCCTTCTTTCAACAGGGAAAGTCCTCCTCCAACGGAGAGTGACTCTTTCTAATGGAGAAAGGCTTTGTTTGTTGAAGGAAGTCTTGACGGAAGGATTTTTCCCCCTTGTGCTGCGCTGACACTTTCTTCCTCGCTGGAGGCACTGGACGTTTTAAACACCTGCGTGACAGATGGAAATGTGTGGGGTTGTGGTTTTTTTGTAAATAATGATCTGTAAGCCACCTTGAACCACAAAGGAAAGTGGGATAGCGATACTTTAATAAATGAAACAAACCAACTGGGCTCCAAAAACACGTGCCGGACTTTCAAAGGGCTACCTCCACACCCCAAAAGTCTTGCCAATCGGGCCTCTTAGCAGTGATCTCTCAATCCCTCTGCACTGCTTTTCTCCCCCCTCCAGCAGGTTGTGTTTACGAATAAGTAAAGATGGCAAATTATCTGAATGTGCAGTTCTCAGTTCAAATCAGCCCTGACCCGGATGGCCCAGGCTCACCCGGTCTCGTCAGATCTCGGGAGCTAAGCATGGTCGACCTGGGCAAGTGTTTGGATGGGAGACCTCCAAGGAATACCAGGGCTGGGAGGCAGAGGCAGGCAACGGCAAACTACCTCTGAACGTCTCTTGCCTTGAAAACCCCATGGGCTCGCCACAAGTCAGCTGTGACTTGACAGCACTTTCTTCTGCCACCCAGTTCAAACAGAAGGCAAGCAGCCTGACACCCCAATGTAACACTTCTACTTTACACAAAGAGCTGGATTTGAGTCCAGTAGCACCTTCGAGACCATCAAGATTTTCGGGGTATGACGAAGGGAGCTTGGACTCTGGAAAGCTCATGCCCCGAAAATCTTGTTGGTCTCGAAGGTGCTCTTTGGACCCGAATCTATCTCTCCTAATGCGGGCCAGAACGGCTACCCTCTGAAACTTAAAACAAAGGCATTTTTAGGGGCATCGGAATGGGGGGGGGCGGGGGGTTTGCAGTCAAACAGGTGCCCCGTTGAAAGCGACGCACAGTGGCCGGATGAGATCCGACATTTCAGCACGCGCTCGCTTGCTTCTAAGCATGTGACAGCGCCATAGATCTCTTCAGCCCAAATTAGGGCTGTTTACATTTGCAAATTCAAAACCATTCACGGGTTGATTCTCAAGACCGCTGGGCACACGGCGACTGCTTGAAGCTGTGGTGCGCATCAGCTCCCCCTGAACGTGGCCAGCTGCTGCTGTGGTGGCCCAGGATTAAGTTTTATTTATTTACTGAATCTATCTATCTATCTATCTATCTATCTATCTATCTATCTATCTATCTATCTAATTGATATCCTGCTCTCTCTCCCCCGAATGGGACTTGGGGCGGCTAACAGCATATAAAATACACTCGATAAAAACCACACAAAAGATACAGTAAATAAACTTTTAAAACATATGAAACGATTAAAAATCGATCCTGATTAAAATCTATCTGCTATCAAGCAGGTAGGATGCATGGATGGTGAAGACACAGCTGAAGCATGCCAGCTGCCTGGTGATCATAATCACCCAAAGGCCGCCCCCAAAAAAGAGCAGCTTTGTGTGCCCTGCGGAACCTCAGGCGGAACCTTCGGGCAGCTGGTTCCACAGGACGGGGGCCACTGCTGAGAAGGCCCTTTCCCTTGTTGACACAAGGCGGATAGTTCTTGGACCAGGGACCTTCAATAAATGTCGATATGAGGGTTGGAGAAGATGGGGAGGAACATGCCAGGAGGGGCAGTCCTGAAGGCATGAGGGTCTCAGGCCACTGAGGGCTTTAAATCATAGAATCACAGAGTTGCAAGGGAGCCATACAGACCACCTAGTCCTGCCCCCTGCCCAATGCAGGACCAGCCTAGAGCATCCCTGACAAGGGTTTGTCCAGCCACTGCTTAAAGACGGCCGGTGAGGGGAGCTCACCACCTCCATAGGCAGCTGACACTTTAATAAATGAAATAAACCATCTGGGCTCTTTGAATTGGCACTGGAAACTAATTGGGAGCCAGTGCAACTGCTGTAGGATAGGTGTCATATATGCTGCTGACATGCTACTGCAAACCTGCATGTTGTGTTTCTTTCCTGTAGGGTGCGCAAAAATCCTTACACAATGCACAGCTGCTTCCAACACACACCAAATTGTGTAACTACCACCCCCTGAGTAAACCTTTTAAAACACAACTGCTTTACCTGTATTAATAAAATTATTACAATAAGCCCTGTAGCTGCATCCTCTCTCTCAAGCTATTTCAAGGCTGCCTTTAGTTTGAAGGTGGTCTCTCTGCGGCTGTGACCCTTGGGCACTTTGCAGGTTGGGGGAGGGTGGCGGCGGCTTCTTTTAATCCCTTAAATAAAATGTGTCAAAACCACAAAGGTGGGTTTTAGCGCAGCCACTTACTCACCCACAATGGAATGCTCTCCGGGACGATGAATAACATTTAAGAGTGCATTATATTTAATATCACTGAGGCAAGACGAGGAAAACAGCTGCCAGGCTGCTCAGCGAAACGAGATGTCTGCCCAAGAGGGTGTTTAACAAGGCACACTGGAAGCTGTCATTTTGAACCCTTGAACACACACACATCCAAACTGTTTCCAGATAATAAGGCCTATTGTATGGCTAAAAAGAAAGAAGGGCACACCTGTTTAAAAGATGAGGTAGTTGTTCAAACACAGGAACGTGTCTGGTGGTGGCAGCTCCGAGCAAGACTGTCAAACTGCTCTCTTCTCTCCCCTCTGCTTAGCATGGTGTGGTGTGTGTGGGGGGGGAAGGACACAACTGATGGCACCCGCTATTAAAGCTCACACTGGTAAAAACACACAGGTAAACATTTCCTGCCACCCTGTGTCATAGCTTACCCATAATGCACACCTTATGGGTTTGAAAACCCCCATGGTCCCGGGGTCACCACAGTTGGTTGCAACTCGATGACATGCAATTACTGTCATTAGTGCACCAAAATGAGATCCACTCCCCAAATATGAGCATCAGAAACTGTCTTTTTAAAAAGGACGCCTTAGGAATCTACATACTCGCTCTTATGGCTGTGAATATCTCCACAGGTAAACCCATGAGAATCAGGAAAATAACATCTTGTTAAGAAAGCAGCATTTCACCACCAGCACCCCCCATATAGAGGCACTATACTCCTAAGAAAAAAGAAAACTAACAGGTATGGCTCTCCAAGAGGAGAACAGATACACTGTGGTGAGAAGAGCTACCTATGATTGATTTCTGCCTCTCGTGCCGCTGTTAACTCACACAGAGCCACCAAGCTACCTCTCACCTTCTGAAAATGTTTGCCAAAACATACAGATTTCCCAGCAGATAAGGAACTGTAATTCTTTTTTTTTTGGGGGGGGGGGGATGATTTGATCCTTTTAGCAAAGTTACGCAGTTACAGATCGCATATTCCAGAGGGGAAACTGTGTTACTTTACCTCTGGAAAAGAAACAAAAAAAAAGGATTCCTTCTTTGTACATAAGAACATAACATAAGAGAAGCCAATGTTGGATGAGGCCAACGGCCCATCCAGTCCAACACTCTGTCACACAGTGGCCAAAAATCCCAGGTGCCATCAGGCGGTCCAGCAGTGGGGCCAGGACACTAGAAGCCCTCCCACTGTTGCCCCCCCCCAAGCATCAAGAATACAGAGCATCACTTGCCCCAGACCGAGAGTTCCTATCTATCCCTTGTGGCTAACAGCCACTGATGGACTTCTGCTCCATATGTTTATCTAATTCCCTCTTGAAGCCGTCCAAGCTCGTAGCCGCCACCACCTCCTGTGGCAGTGAATTTCATGTGTTCACTCGTTGGGTGAAGAAGGACTTCCTTTTATCTGTTCTAACCTGACTGCTCAGCAATTTCATGGAGTGCCCACGAGTTCTTGGTATTGTGAGAAAGGGAGAAAAGAACTTATTTCTCGACCTGCTCTATCCCATGCATGATCTTATAAACCTCGATCATGTCACCCCTCAGCCGTCGTTTCTCCAAGCTAAAGAGCCCCAAGCGCTTTAACCGTTCCTCATAGAGAAAGTGTTTCAACCCTTTTATCATTCTAGTTGCTCTTTTCTGCACTTTTTCTAATGCTATAATATCCTTTTTGAGGTGTGGTGAACAGAACTGTACACAGTACTCCAAACGAGGTCGCCCCATCAATTTATACAGGGGCATTATGACACTGGCTGATTCGTTTTCAATTCCCTTCCTAATAATCCCCAGCATAGCGCTGGCCTTTTTTATTGCAGTCTCACACTGTCTCAAAGCACCTTAATGACTAACGGAATTATTGAGATGGGTAGTCGTGTTGGTCTAAAGCAACAGAACAAAGTTTGAGTCCAGAGGTACCTTTAAGACCAACAAAGTTTTATTCTGGACAAAAGCTTTCGTGTGCATTTGTTGGTCTTAGAGGTGCCCCTGGACTCAAAACTTTGTTTTAATCGAATTATAGCATGATTTAGCTAGGATCCTTTTAATCCTGCCTTTCCCTGAGGAGTTCTGGGTGACACACACGAGTCTCCCTGCTACAGAGATAAATAAAACACATAAATCTGCTTGTCTTTAAATTGCTGTTCGACTCATCTCTGGCTATAAATTTCTTCGCTGGGATCAGGGCTTCCACTGATTGAAGATGACTGATTTAAGGCTCAGCCTTCCCGGGGCCTGTGCTGTAATTTGGGGGGTCTTGGGGGGGGTGTGGCTGGGAAGAGGTGCTACAAATGCATCCCTGAAGAAGAATTCTATTATTATTCTCCTCTTCTCTCTCTCAAGGTCAGTCCTGACATTTTAAAAATATTTGTGGGTGGGTGCTTTTTTTGTGTCCTGTGGGGCCACCGTGACTACGGAGACCAAGCCACAAATCACAGAAATGGACCCCCACCACCACGCCCAGTACCTGAGGCTGCAGAATGTCAAGGGTTACCCTGCAAAAGCTACTGCTTGCATGAGGATTAAAGCAGGCGTTGGGACTTGCTGGCTGGCTCCAGCCCAAGTGCTCGGAGACTCGACTGGTGTCCACAATGGCAGCTTTGGAAAATGTCTTCCCCTAAAGCCCAACCCCACCTCCTTAATCCTAATCTACCTCCATGACTTCCCCTAATTTTCTCTGCGTACCTCCAAGGGCACACCTGACCCACAGCCACGGTGTTCCCGCCAGGACACGCTCCCCCCCATCTCACTATGTGATCTTTGCTGTAGACCACGTGGATGTACATGAAGCTGCCTTATACTGAATCAGACTCTTGGTCTATCGAGGTCAGTATTGCCTACTCAGATTGGCAGTGGATCTCTGGGGTCTCAGGCAGGGGTCTTTCACATCACCTGCTACCTGATCCTTTCAACAGGAGATGCCAGGGATTGAACTTGGGACCTTCTGCTTGTCAAGCAGATGCTCTACCACTGAGCCGCAGTCCCTTCCCTGACCATCATGAACACACGAAGCTGCATGCCAAGCCCCTCTTTACAGCTCTCCAGGGTCTCAGGTGGAGGTCTTTCCCATCACCTCCTACCTGGTCCTTTTTAACTGGAGATGCCGGGGATTGAACCTGGGACCTTCTGCTTGTCAAGCAGATGCTCTACCACTGAGCCGCAGTCCCTTCCTTGACCATCATGAACACACGAAGCTGCATGCCAAGCCCCTCTTTACAGCTCTCCATGGTCTCAGGTGGAGGTATTTCCCATCACCTCCTACCTGGTCCTTTTTAACTGGAGATGCCGGGGATTGAACCTGGGACCTTCTGCATGCCAAGCTGAGGCTCTACCACTGAGCCACAACCCTCACCCAAATGTGAAATAATTTATAGATTTACTCAGGATTTTTCTATGCTGCCTCTTCAGAGTCCTGCTTGAGGCCACTTACAATTAGACTCACGTCACAACATTAAAAACAAGCCATAACATGGGCACAGCAACATCAGAGAACAGGTGTCCTTGACAGAGAGCTAAAACCGCAAAGTCTCAAAAGCATAGCAGACAAAAAGTGCCCAGATGATATGGAACAGTGCCTACCCTTCCGAATTTATAGTCTTGTTTGGTTCTTGAAGCAACTGTGAAAGAGTAGAGAACAGCTTCAAACGCATCAAGGGGTCTTTGGATGTCTGAAGGCACGTTTTCAGAATGAGAAAAAGTTCTTGAAGGGCTTCACCTATGGCAGGGCCTAGAAAACAAATATGAAAATAACTGGGGGGTGGGGTTTGCAGTAGCTGTTAATCAATATATCTTAGGTCACAGGTTTTAGCAAAGAGTTAAGCGAGGATTTGAGACCATTTGCTTTCAAAGAAGGGACATCTTGCAGAGGAAAAGAACATAAAATAGATCTTTGGTGCTTCATTTGGAAAAAGAAAGACCCTCGAAAATCTGCACAAATGGTGTTCACAACCGGCATTTGTAAAGGCACTTCAAAACTGTGGTTTCAAAGCTAACGGCCACGGTGAGCGTGGGCACCGGCATACCTAGAATGCCCCTGTGGCCAGCTCCCAAAAGGGAGGGAGAGGCTCTCCCGCAATCTAACTTGCCTTGCAGGTTTGTGTGAAGGATAATGCACCGAGAAAGCTATGGATGATGGTTTGCACACGTTCAGGGGTTGTGTGAGACCCAGATCACAATTTTGATAAACTCATTTAAGAACGCACTATTTTGCTTGACGTCGGCCTCTGAGTTGATTAGCTGCCAAAATGAATAGGAAGACTAGTTTTTAAGGTACACGCCACTGTTCCTTCGAAGCCGTGTGCGTGAGTGGAAGCCCCGCTCAGCAGCAATTTGGAGCCCTGCAGGGTCTTGCACTGCCCATTGCAAGATTACAGCAGTTATATTCTGCTCAGGATACGAACTGCTCTGCTCAGTAGGGGGAAAAATTAGAGGGAACATTCGTACACCCCGTGCTGTTTTACAAACCTAAACGTTTTTACTACCTTCACAACAACGACATACTTCTGTTTCAGCGTGCAAAATGTCACACGGCCCAATTCCAAGCATACGTATTTGGAGAGAAGTCCCAACAGCAACTCAAAAATCTTCTTTTATCCAGGAGGGGGATGGGACAGGGAGGAGAGGTAATAGATGTGATTCTGAAATGGTTTCAAGCCCGCCCCGGCTGGATTACCTGAATGAGTGGCGACGACGTCCAGCTGCAGCAGTTCAGACGAGTAGCAGGTCCAGGTGTCGGGGGCTGAGGAGACCCACTGCATGAGCTCAGAGATGTGCTGCCGATACAGGCCCACCAAGCCCACCAGGCCCTGCACTTCCGCCAGTGACTTCATGGCCTCTTCTATCTGTCGGGGGACAAAATGAAAATGCAAAGACGCAAAAACGTTCCTTTAAAGAAATGGGATTTAACCAAAAAAAAACCTCCTTGGGCAAATGAGCAGCTCCTATGCTGATGCATACAGAACTGGCAAACATTTTTTACCAGTTAGTTGTAGATTTTCCGGGCTGTATGGCCGTGGACTTGGCATTGTAGGACCTGACGTTTTGCCCACAGCTGTGACTGGCATCCTCAGAGGTATAGCACAGAAAGATGGAGTACTCTCTGTGTGTTATACCTCTGAGTATGACAGTCACAGCTGCTGGCGACACGTCAGGTCCTACAATGCCAAGACCATGGCCATACAGCACGGAAAATCTACAACAACTAATGAACTCTGGCCGTGAAAGCCTTCGACAACACATTTTATTACCAGCCCACTAAAAGGACATCTGGACTACTGCATGCGTTTTCCCCAGATCGTGCAAACACCCTGGGCTTTCAACTGCCCTCCAGGCCACAGCATCCCTGACTTAGGATCCAGCCGTCCTCTTTGTGGGCTCTTTGAAACCCCTTTCCAACCCAAGTGTGCCTTGGAATGAGCGCTGGTCAAGTGGATGAACAGAGCTGGTGGAGTATACTGGTCAGAGCATCGGACTAGCTTACGGAAGACCCAAATTCGAAGCTTGCTGGGTGACCCTGGGCCAGTCACACAGTCTCAGCGTAACCAACCTCACCTCACCGAGTGGTTGGGAGGATAAAATGGAGGAGACAAAAACTATTTAAAAGCGGCTTTGGGTCCCCACTGAAGAAAGGGGGGGGTAGAATAAATGGCGTAAATAAAAAGTAATTAAAAAAAAGCCTCTCTTGACTTAGGGAATGAGTCAGCTATCTATTTTAACAGCATCACAGAGTCACTATTTGTGATCCGCTCAACCGGTTTATTTTTCTTCACAATCACGTCATCTTGGACATTTGTTCTTTTCAAAAACAGAGAAAACGAACCCTGCCGGAACAAAAGCCTTTGATGGCGGTGCTAAAACTCTTTGCTGGTGTCCAACAGTACTCCTCTAGCCTTCTGTGCATAAAATTAGAACAGGTCCGGGATTATTTTGGTTCCCCCCCCCCCGGAATCAAAATTCACTGGGGGGGAAATGGAAACGACCTGTCTGAATACTAACCAACCCTTAAGAGGGTCGCTGCCCGGAAGGAACAGAAGAGAGGAAGTACGCCAATAAAACGAAGGAGCAAATCTGGAAGCAAAAACTCACCTGGCCACCAAAGAGCTACTGCTAAAAAAAAGAGTGGGTGGGTGGGAAGGCAGCTGCCTGATTTATTTGGCATTTGGGAAGAAAGTGATTTATGACGGTCTGATAGCTGGGGGGGGGGAAGGGCTCACGTTTATCAAGGGCATCTTTGGCTGTTTCTGATTTCAAAGAACGGATGAAACTCCCCCCACCACCACCACCCCGGAACTTAGGATAGGAGCAGAGGTGAAAAGGGCAGCTGATGAAAAAGACACTCCCTGCGGGAGGCTGAGAAGGCACCAGAGGGGTGAACCCCCCTATATTCAGAGTTATCTCAGCTGCAACCCCCCCCCCCACACACACACACAATTCCTGTATCTGTTTTAATTGTATCTGATTTTTTTTTTAAAGCCTGCCTGGGCAGAACGGTGGCTACTGCCTTCACAAAGCTTCCGATGTTTTATTAAGACGGCCTGCTTCCGCGCTCAGTTTGAGAGAAGAAAACCTCTTCGGTCGGGAGATTACGACAAATCCTCCCTCAGAGACGGAGTCTTTACAGATAATCTCTTCCCTTTGGGGAAGCGCCAAAGCTCTTCTAATGACGCTCACGCCCTGCAAGTGAAAACGCGGCTCTGGACGTGATTATTGGTGACAACTAAGTCGGCTTCGGTCTTCAGCTTTTCACCTGGCGGCTTGCAGGGATGGGCACAGCTCAGGGCACACCGTTGCATGTAGGAAATCCTCAGATTCAATGGCTGGAATCCCTGCTCAGAGAAGATCTCACGGCACTGCTGTGAAACACCTCTGCCTAAAGACTGGGACTGCCCCATTGCCTGCACAGAACTACTTCAGGGTCCCTCGGGCCTTCTGTTATTTCGCTAAAATCACCGCCAGAGGGCCCAAGAGAGCTGCTGCCAGTAGGTGGATGCTGTGCGTGAAGATCGGCCAATGGTCTGGCTCCGTTGCTAATGCCTGCTCTGTCAGGAAGGCTCTCTCTCTCCCAAAAGACTAGAACTCGAGGGCATCCAATGAAGCTGACGGGCAGTAGGTTCATGGTGAACAAAAAGGAAATACTGCTTTACATAGAGAGTTATTAGATGTGGAATTCACTGTCAGAGGATGTAGTGAGGGCCACAGGAAGAAACAGCTTAGACAGATTCATGGAGAATAAGTCTTTCAATGGCTACTAGCCATGGTGTCTGAGGGGAACCTCCACATTCAGGGGCCTTAAACCTGAGGGGAACCTCCACATTCAGGGGGAAGGCTTCAACCTGTGCCCTGTTGTTGGCCCTCCAGAGGGACTGGGCGGCCACTGTGTGAGACAGGATGCTGGCCTAGATGGACCCTCACTGGTCTGATCCAGCAGGGCTCTTTTGATGTTCTTACCCAGGGAAGGCCTCGGCCTCTGTGCCCTGTTGTTGGCCCTCCAGAGGGACTGGGCGGCCACTGTGTGAGACAGGATGCTGGCCTAGATGGACCCTCACTGGTCTGATCCAGCAGGGCTCTTTTGATGTTCTTACCCAGGGAAGGCCTCAGACTCTGTGCCCTGTTGTTAGCCATCCAAAGGAACTGGTTGGCCACTGTGTGAGACAGGATGCTGGACTAGATGGACCCTCACTGGTCTGATCCAGCAGGGCTCTTTTGATGTTCTTACCCAGGGAAGGCCTCAGACTCTGTGCCCTGTTGTTAGCCATCCAAAGGAACTGGTTGGCCACTGTGTGAGACAGGATGCTGGACTAGATGGACCCTCACTGGTCTGATCCAGCAGGGCTCTTTTGATGTTCTTACCCAGGGAAGGCCTCAGACTCTGTGCCCTGTTGTTAGCCATCCAAAGGGACTGGTTGGCCACTGTGTGAGACAGGATGCTGGACTAGATGGACCACTGGTCTGATCCAGCAGGGCTCTTTTGATGTTCTTATGAATGCTTTGGCCTCTCTGCCCTGTTGTTGGCCCTCCAGAGAAACCGGTTGGCCACTGTGTGAGACAGGATGCTAGCCTAGATGGACTTTCACTGGTCTGATCCAGCAGGGCTCTTCTTGTGTTCTTATGCTCCCACACACTTCAGTCATTCCGCAAAACAGAACTAACCAGGAGGGCAATTTTTATAACGATAACGGGGATATACTATAACAAAGTAGTTCAGGAAGGCGCTTCTACAAAAGGAACAGGATTGTGGACAATGTGACTGTGTATGGGATATATTGCCTCTTTATTGTACAAACTACCCTGCTCTTATTTGTACTGCTTTCTACTTTTCTAATGCCATTTCCTGCATTGTTTCACATATCAATTCTAGTCTCCCTCCCCCCCATGTCTAATTTTTGTAATCAGAGTCTCACTGCATTGCTAATTAGAGGTCTCCTGCTATTTGGCTGATTACACACCATGCAATCAGCCTGGAGTCTCAAATAAAGGCAGACTATAAATGCACGAAATAAATAGATCAGACTGGTGGTCCATCTAGTCCCGCATCCTGTCTCACACAGAGGCCAATCAGTTCCTCTGGAGGTCCAACATGAGGGCACAGAGGCCGAAGTCTTCCCCTGATCAGAACATAAGAAGAGCCCTGCTGGATCAGACCCGTGGTCCATCTAGTCCAGCATCCTGTCTCATAAAGCAGCCAACCAGTTCCTCTGGAGGGCCAACAACAACAGGGCAAAGAGGTTGAAGACTTCCCCTGGTGTTGCCTCCTACCAACTGGTATTCAGAGGCTCACTGCCTCTGAATGTGGAGGCTCCCTTTAGTGACTACGGGTGAACCTCTCCTCCATGGTTTCTGTCTAACCCCCCTTTTACAGCCACCTAAGCTTGTGGCCACCACTGTGTTCACCGGCTACGAATTCCACAATCCAATGAACGAGTAAATTAGCACCCCCTTGTGTGTATCCTAAATCTATTCCCCATTGGGTACGCCTGAATTCTAGGGTGGTGGTGGTTGTTATTATAGTTAAATTTATGAATCGCTCCATCCCTACTATCGTAGGTCTCTGGGCGACGTACGCAGTGTTAAAAACAGTCACCAAATACAATAATCGAACATATTAAATTACATTACAAAAACAGATGGCGAGTAGTGATCTTTAGAATTAATTATTCCCCTATTACAGACTGCTGGCCATTTTGTGGGCAGGGGGGAAAGAGGCTGAAATAAGCGTGGAAAACTGAGGAGGGTGCCGGTGAAGGTGGAAACCGTCACTGTCCTCAACCAAAAGCCCGGCGGAACATCTCTGCCCTGCAGGCCCTGCGGAACGGCCTAAGATCCCACCGCAGGGCCCTGATGGTGTTTGGCAGAGAGCTCCACCAGGTTGGGGCCAGGACTGAGAAGGCTCTGGTCGAGGACAGCTGGATATCCTTACGGCCAGGGATCACTAGTGTGTTGATATCCACGGAGCGCAGTGCCCTTCCGGGGACATAATGGTCCCATAGATACAATCATAGAATCACGGAATGTTAGAGTTGGAAGGGACCTTGCAGGTCATCTAGTCCAACCCTCTGCACTCTGCAGGAGCATAACCGAAAGATAGCCCTACAACATGCCCGGAAGATGGTCATCCAGCCTCTGCTTGAAAACGTCCAGCAAAGGAGCATCCACCACTGCTCAACCACTCTTACAGTTAGGAAGTTTCTCCTGATATTTAGTCGGTATCGACTCCCTTGTAATTTCTACCCATTAGATCTAGTCTTGCAATCCGGAGCAAGAGAGAATAGATCCGCTCCATCTTCTACAAGACAGCCCTTCAGATATTTGAAGACTGCAATCGTGTCTCCTCTAAGCCTTCTCCTTCCCAGGCTAAACATACCCAACTCTTTCAGCCTTTCCTCACAAGACTTGGATTCCAACCCTCTCACCATCCTGGTTGCCCTCCTCTGTACACGCTCGAGCTTGTCAACAACCTTCCTAAGATGTGGTGCCCAAAACTGGACACAGATATGGGACAGGCACTCATGGAGACACTGGAGAGAGAGACATGGACTTATGGGACAGGGACTCATGGAGACCCACTGCCAGTCCGGGTAGACAATACTGACCTTGATGGACCCAAGGGTCCGATTCAGTACAAGGCAGCTTCATGTGTTCATGTGGTGATGGCTAATCATGAGGGCAGCACAGAATTATGTGGCCTGGAAGGAAATCTTTCAGTGGTTCATATGAGGCACAGGGGCCCGGTCCCATGGGCATCTGCAGAATGGGTGATGGTGGGGTTTGCTTCTCAGCTGTGAAAACCCGAATATCAGGCATCCTGGGGGGAGGGACCCCTCATAATGTGCCTTGAGAACCACCAGAATCTTATCTCCACAGTGTCAGGATCCCTAGTCCCGTCACACCACACAGGGCTTCATAAGAGGATAACTGTTTATTGATGCAGGAATGGCCGGCAGTACTAGGGCCTCTGACTTATACTAAAATCAAACATCCCCCCCATGTAAGCATGAGCCAATGGATACATCTCTCGCGCGCAGGCAAAGCAAAGAAGCCGTTAACTTTCCCAGCCGAGTAAATTGCAGCTGGAGCATCTACAAGGTCAAGCATAAGATAGCAAATAGTTGGTGAGCCAGAGAGAGCTGAGACAGAAAAAAGGAGGGCACCCCTCCCCATTCCAGAGCTACCTGACACACGGCTCTGCCCACACTACCTGTTCGTGAAGATGACCGACAGTCGGTATGGCCATGACGGTGACCAGGATCTTCATCAGCTGGAGACTGACCTCTTTACAGTCTTCTTGGCACGTTTCGAGGAGAGCTTCCACACAGCCGAGTAACTGCTCCAGATAAGAGACCTGCCAAGGAAACAGACAAGAGAGGTATGCTTTCTGGCCTCTCCTCCACTCACTTTGGTCCATTCTAGTCAGCTTGCTGCTGGGGGGAGGGGGGGGCCCCCTGAAAAGCAATTTTAAAAAGATCCTATACAGCTGCTAAAAGGAGAAGGAGCCCTTGTCTTGAAATGATGGCCTGCAGACAGGACCACAACCAGCCACGAAGGTGAGGGAACAGTCCTGGCTTTAAAACAAGACCGCACTGTTAACTGGCAATAGTCCAGGGGAGGGAATCCAGGGCTCCAAATTTCCATCATGGATCATCTTCCCTGTGAATAATTTGCTACGAAACTATTGGGCACCTGTTGTTTTTTAAGGACTGTTGCAGTTTGGGTAGCAAACTGGTTCAAGCGGGATTTCTTTTCTCAAGGGCCTGGGAATGTCTTAAATTGTGAGGAGGGGGCATGGCTCTGTGGTAGAGCATATGCTTTTCACGCAGAGGGTCCCAGGTTCAATCCCCAGCATCTCCAGTTAAAGATGGTGATGTGGAAGACTCCTGCCTAAGACCCTTGAGAGCCGCTGCAGGTCTGAGTAGACAACAGAGAGCCAGTTTGGTGTAGCGGTTAGCAGCGTGGACTCTAATCTGGGAGAACCAGGTTTGATTCTCCATTCCTTCACATGCAGCTGCTGGTGTGACCTTGGGTCAGTCACAAGTCCTTTCAGAGCTGTTCTCTCAAGGGCAGTTCTCAAAAGAGCTCTCTCAGCCCACCTACCTCACAGGGTGTCTGTTGTGGGGAGGGAAAGGGAGGGGAGGGGAAGGGAGGGGAGACTGTAAGCCTCTCCTTCGGGTAGTGAAGAGCGGTGTATAAATCCAATTTCTCTTCAATCTCTTCAATACTGACCTCAATAGCCAATGGTTTAGGCAGGTTCATAATTAAACAGTAAACCAAGCAAGCCTCATTGATAGCATATTATGACTCTATTCCCTTACTGCTAATGGGAAGCAAGCGCTTTTGCTCATGAAGGCTGGCTCCCATCCATTCCAATAAATATACCTGTGCGTACAAAACTATGGCATCTGAAGGAGTGAGCAGTGACTCGCGAAAGCTCGTCCCCTGCCACAAATTTTGCTAGTCTTTTAAGATGCTGCTGGGCTCTTGCTCTTTTCTATGCCAATTAAATGTGGTTTGATGTAGTGGTTTAGGAGCATGGACTCTAATCTGGGAGAACCGGGTTTGATTCCCCACTCCTCCACATGCAGCTGCTGGTGTGACCTAGGGTCAGTCACAAGTTCGCTCAGAGCTGTTCTCTCACGAGCAGTCCTCGAAAGAGCTCTCTCAGCCCCACCTGCCTCACAGGGTGTCTGTTGTGGGGAGAGGAAGGGAAAGGAGATTGTATGCGGCTCTGAGACTCCTTTGGGTAGTGAAGGGTGGGGGATAAATCCAATCTCCTCCTCCTCTTCTTCTTCTAAAAATTGGTCATGTACGTGCTTTCCTATAGGAGACAGTCACCAGTGTACAACTGCTCTCCACGCCAGGCGCATGCAGATCTGGAGGTCAAGGATCCCTCTTGAGCAAGACACACGAAGGCGGTTTGAAGGCTTCTGCCTCCTTCTCACCTCTGCCGTGCACTGGCTGACGTGCGGGTGGGAGAGGGTGTCGGTCAGGTGCCCCAAGTGAGGCTGCAAGACGTCCCTCGGGGAGCCACGTGTCACGGCGGAGAGAACCATCAGGTGGGAAGGCTGGGGCGCTTTCTCGAGGTCCGACACAATCAGCTTCAGGGACACAGCAGGGCTGACGAACATGCCGATCAGTTCTGCTGCTTTCAGACACTGCCAAAGAGAAGACACCACTGGCCAGACTGGAAGAGGCAGGAGTCCGAGACAGTTTGACACGGCAAGGTTTTTTGTGTGTGTGTGATTTGAAAATACTGACTGCTTTTCAGTTTCATGCCTGATAGGCCTTTCCACTCCTATATGTATTAAAAAACCGTATATCTCAACGTCTACACATATGGGGAAAAATGTATTTCTGGACATGTTTGACAAAAAGTGTGCATGCCGATGCCTCTTTCAGAACCAAGTTCAAGCATCTGCAAGGAAATTCTGAACGCACAGGGACAGAACTGGGTGACTCCCAGCACGGACCGCTGTAGCCAGCTTATACCGCCCAGATGAGCTCCCAGGACTTACTGATCTTTCAGAAGCTCATCCCTTCATCTCTTTTTAAACAGCCCCTCTCTTCCCCAAGAGAAGAAGCTGCGACCCTCTCCTAATGTCCCTGATAACAGCCCCAAAGACATCTGGCTGTCCTCAGCCAGGGCCTTTTCGGTCCTGGCCCCAACCTGGTGGAACTCTCTGCCAAATACCACCAGAGCCCTGCGGGACCTTATGGAGTTCCGCAGGGCCTGCAAGACTGAGATGTTTCACCAGGCCTTTGGCTGAAGTCAGTGACGGCTTTTCATCGTGGCTGGCACCCTCTTCCGCTCTCTACATTTGCCTTCCCCCCTACTGCAAAGCAACCGGCAATCTGAAATGGGATTAATTTGTTCACTATTTGTTTAAAATGTGTTGTTTGATTTTAATTGTTTTATCTAGCGTTATTCATATTGTACATCACCCAGAGCCCTGCCATAGCAGGTATTGGAAAATTAATACATTTAATAAGATAATAATGCTGTAAACTCTGAAAGCTGCGTTGGGAGGCGGGAACATGCCTTCTTGCCTGCCGGAGAGGCAGGGGAGCACGGGCCCAGTGAATTCCCGTTCAGGCGTTTGCTGCAGCACAAGCCAGCCTCAGGCAGAGGATGGGTGCATGATTTCTTGCTGTCCGTGGGGAAGATGGGGTATCTGCAAGCCAGCCCGTAAGGAGGTGCTGCTTCTGCTGGAAGGAAGCTTCTGCAGACTTCTTTTATTCCTACGTGACCAAACAACCAAAGATGCAAAGCATTTAGGGGCTAGGCGTGTGTGTATTAACCTATATTAGTGTGGATTCGGTGTGGTGTAAAGTGCCATCAAATCACATCTGACTTACGGCAAACCTGTAGGGCTTTGAGGGCAAGAGATGAATGAAGAGATGGCTTGCCACTGTCTGCCTCTGCGTCATGACCCTGGACTTCCTTGGTGGTCTCCCAGCCACTTACCAACCAGTGCTGACCCTGCTTAGCTTCCAGGATCTGACCAGATCAGGCTAGCTTGAGCCATCCTGAATTCAGGCCCAGCACAAAGAGCTGACCAACACCTCAACCCTAACTTCCTAGGGGAATGCACAGTCTACTCACATCCCCCCCAGTTTGTTATGATGTTATGATCAATGTTTTCCAAGGAAAGCGTGCCCGTATTTGAGGCCCTCCGCCCCCAGTTCCTTGGTTTGGTCCTCCTGGAGCACTTCTAATGCCCTCTAGAGGTACATGGCTGTTTTACAGCCAGGATCTCTATTGCAGTGACACTCAGTCTGGTGTAGTGGTTAAGAGTGGCAGGACTCTAATCTAGAGAACCGGGTTTGATTCCCCACTGCTCCTCCACATGAAGCCAGCTGGGTGACCTTGGGTCAGTCACAGTTCTCTCAGTGCTCTCTCAGCCCCACCTGCCTCACCGGTGTCTGCTGTGGGGAGAGGAAGGGAAGGGAGATGGTCAGCCACTCTGAGACTCCTTTGGGTAGTGAAGGGCGGGGTAAAATACTAACTCTTCTTGTTCACTCAGAGGTTCAGAAGCCACCTGTGGCTCTTTGATGTGACGCCTGTGGCTTCTTTGAGCACTGCTGCCTATGTGTTTCAAGGAAGTGGGCAAGACCCTTGCTTGGCGGGGCCTGTGGCCGGTGCCCGTTCCCCACTTTGAAACAGCCACAGCTGGAGGGGAGGGCCAGCTGGGAGCCTCCCGGAAAGGGCAGGCCTCGTGCCAGGGACAGATGTAAACGTGGCTCTCCATGGGCCACGGAGTGAGTACCACTGCTCTACAGGATAAAAGAAAACACTGCATGAAGAGGGGCTGTGGCTCAGTGGAAGCTTCCCTGCTTTGCAAGCAGAAGGTCCCAGGTTCGATCCCCGGCTTCTCCACCAGGCTGTAGGTGACGTGGAAGACCTCTGCCTGAGACCCCGGAGTGCTGCTGCCAGCCTGACCATACTTATCTCAATGGGCCAATGGTCTGATTCAGTATAAGGCAGATTCATGTGTTCATGCAGAAGGCTCTTGGGGCTCAATCCCCGCCGGCATCTCCAGTTAAGAGGACCAGGCGGTCAGTGATGTGGAAGACCTCTGCTCTGAGACTCTGGAGAGCCGCAGGCAGTCTGAGGAGACCCTACTGACCTTGATGGACTGAGGGTCTCATTCAGTACGTGGCAGCTTCATGTGTCCATGTGCGTGCATTGCACTTCTGTGCTCTCTTGCAATGGGAAGAGAACCAACCTCGGCACAGTGTACCAGAGCTTGCAGGCACACACTGCGCACAGGTTTCTGGGTGGGGCGGGGGGAGTTTACATCTTAGTCCTAGCCAGAGAAGGTCCCAGTGAGCACAAGGTGAATCGTAGGCAGAGGCCTCCTGGGTCACTGGGGATTCCCCCCACTGCGCACACCCTTTCCACAGCGGAGAAGAGCAAGCCCCGGCTCGCAGGGTGGCTGCATCCCTTCCCAGCCAAGGAGCAAAGTGGCTGTCCGCATACAGTTCGGCATTAGATTTTTCAAAAGAGCAAAAGGCTCCAGGTTTTTTGGTCAAAATTACTACCCTCTTTCCCCAAACAGAAGCTGAGGCTTCTAAAAACAGTTTTTCCCTAGAAGGCTATGTTTCATTACTATAAATAATTTGTATCTGCTTACAAGATCCCCCCCCCCTCTGTTTTTCTTGATGGTGCATACGGGAAACTAATCAGGTACACAGGTATGCCTACCTTGCTTATCAAAGTTTTCTTAGCCTACCAAAATAGGTAATGAGGCATTTGTTTTCTTGTTGCCATCCACAGCAACATCTCTTTCTAACTACTTACCGCCTTATTCGGGATAAGAGAAACAAATTTGCAACCCCACCCAAACAATAAAGGGCCACAACTGTAAACAGCAAAGCACGCTAATGACTCCCCCACACACACACAGACACACAAAGAAAGCAAAAGGAAGGAAACATAAACAGGCCATGTCTGAATACCAATTAAGGCCATGGCCAGGAATAAGCATGCCTTAATTTGGTGGGAGGCTTGTATGGAGAGAGGGAGAGAAACAGATAACATGTGAAATTAACTAGAAAGGGCATGAACTGCACATAGTTTTAAAATGGAATTCATCCCCCTGAGGCATTTCACGATTTAATCTGTTGCTTATGATTTTTAAGAGGCTGCTTAACAACGCACGGCTTGGCGAGTGCCAGAGAGGTGAAGGGCAATTTCGACAGCTCTCGTCGCTGATCCGAGAACTATTCAGCTTAACGTGGCCCGTGCGAGGGATATAACTGACCTGGTCCACCGAGGGACAACTGATGAGCAAGATGGACCTTCTGGACCAGTTCCCACCCACAAAGAAGGTGCGGCCTGCAGGAAACGGGACAGCCAGAGTGCTGGGTTCATCTGACTTGCAGAGTCGGACCAAAGACCTGTCCGTTCCGGCATTCTGATACTCGCTCTACCAGGCAAGTTGCCGCCCACATACCACAAGGACCATCAGGGCCACACGGTTAACAGCCACTGATAAATCTGTGAATCTGCCCAGCCCCCTTTTAAAGCTTTAATGCTGTCATCAGATTGTAAACAGTGAAATATTCCTCTGAAGAAATCCTTTCCATGGCTAATCCTAAACCTGCTGCTGTTCTCATAGATTTGGTATTACAGGGGGAGGGAAGGTGGCATGGTGTAGCCCGATCTCGTCAGATCTCAGAAGCTAAGCAGGGTCGGCACTTGGAAGGGAGACCACCAAGGAAGGCTCTGCAGAGGAAGGCCATGGCAAACCACTTCGGCTTCTCATTTCCCTTGAAAGACCCTTGCTGGGGTCATGCAAAGTTGGCTGCAACTTTACAGCCCTTTACACCAGAGGTTCCCAAACTTATTTGGCCTACCGCCCCCCTTTCAGAAAAAAAATTACTCAGCGCCCCCCTGGAAATCTACCTTCAAAAAGTGGACAAAAAGATGCAGTGACAAATTTGCACCCAAGGCTCCTACCACCCACCTGGATCGTTCCAGCACCCCTCAGGGGGCAGTCGTGCCCACTTTGGGAACCAGTGCAGTTTACACAGACACAGTATTCTGGGGAAAGGAGAGGGGCCACATCTCTATCTACTTTCTGCACTTCATGCGTCTCCAACTACTTTCTCCATCTCATTTTATTAACAGTTATCTAGTGCCCCCCCCAACATAGTGTTTTTTTAATAAATTAAGAAGACCTCAATGCTTTTGAGCTTCCAACCCCTTCAATTACTCTGGCTGACTTCCCTGCCCCTTTCATTCTATTTCTGCACCTCACATACAACAAAATGGACAAAACGAAATACTACTTTACCCGGACAGGGATTAAAATGTGGAATTTGCTGCCAGAGGACGTAGTGAGGGCCACAGGTAAAAGATAACGGTTCCCCTGCTCAAAAGCCAGTCGAGTCTGACTCTAGGGTTGCAGTGCTCATCTTGGTTTCAAAGCCGAAGAGCCAGCGCTGTCCGAAGACGTTTCCGTGGTCATGTGGCCAGCATGACTAAACACCAAGGCGCACAGAACGCTGTTACCTTCCCACCAAAGTGGTACCTATTTATCTACTTGCAATTTCTTGCTTTCAAACTGCTAGGTTGGTAGGAGCTGGAACTAGAGACGAGAGCTCACTCCGTCATGCAGCAACTCGGGTCTCGAACTGCTGAACTACTGACCTTCCACAGCCTGCAGTTCAGCGTCTTAACCACTTGAGCCACCGCAGCTCCTCGAGGGCCACAGGAATAACCTTTAAAAAGGGATTAGATAGACTCATGGAGTCTATAAATGGCTCCTAGCCATGGTGTCTGAGGGGAACCTCCACATTCAGAGGCACTAATTCTCTGAATCCCAGAACCAGGAGGCAACATCAGGGGAAGGCCTCGGCCTCTCTGCCCTGTTGTTAGCCGTCCAGAGGAACTGGTTGGCCATTGTGGGAGACAGGATGCTGGACTAGATGGACCACTGGTCCGATCCAGCAGGGCTCTTCTGATGTTCTTATCAGGAGAAGGCCTCGACCTTTATGCCGTTGTTGGCCGTCCAGAGGAACTGGCTGGCCTCTGTGTGAGACGGGATGCTAGACTAGAGGGACCTTCACTGGTCTGATCCAGCAGGGTTCTTCAGGGGAAGGCCTCGGCCTCTGTGCCCTGCTGTTGACCGTCCAGCAGAACTGGTTGGCCAGAGTGTGAGACGGGATGCTGGACTAGAAGGACCACTCGTTTGATCCAACAGGGGCTCTTCCAAGGTTCTTAGTACTGAGAGCAGACCTTTGGGTGAACACTCGAAAGCGGGCATACTCACTTCCCTGCCCACGAGGATTTCCTCGTCCAAGCACACGCGGTACAAAGTCCTGAGGAGGAGCTCCATGTGCTGAGTGACGTGGTCCTCCGCGTGCAGCAACAGGATGTAGAGAAGCCGAGAGGCTTTTATTCTGGTGCCCACGACCCAGTCGGTCAGATCGTGGCAGAGCCCGGGGAGGATTCTGTAGAGGTGCCTCATCACCAGCTCCCGGCAGCCCAGTCCTGGTCGAGCCACTAGGATGGGAAATTTTTTAAAAAGAGGAAGTCACAGGAAATGGCGGAAGTAAATTGCATACAAAACAATTGGAAAGAGCAAGAGTCCAGTAGCATCTTAAAGACTAAACAAATTTGTGGCAGGGTGTGAGCTTTTGTGAGTCACTGCTCACTTATTTATGTATTTGAGTGCAACAGTATATAGAGGAGCAGCCTCAGGGCAGCTTACACCAAAAAAAATTAAACAGAGAAAAACAAAACAAATATAAATATTAATATAAAACACATTATAAAGTGCTAGTATCTTCAGATACTTCAGGTACTTCAAATACTTCAGCTTCTTCAGGTGTCTGAAGAATGATCAGTGACTCATGAAAGCTCATCTCCTGCCTTAAATTTTGTTAATCTCTAACGTGCTACTGGTATCTGAAGAAGTGAGCAGTGACCCACAAAAGTTCATACTCTGCTACAAATTTTGTTAGAAGTCTTTAAGATGCTACTGGACTTTTGCTCTTTTCTGCTGCTACAGACAGACTAACACGGCTACCCATCTTGATCTGTCTCCATGGAAAACATTTGGAAACATTTACTCTCTTGACTGATGACAAACTTATGTTAGCACAGTTGAAGGAGTTGCCATCTGCAGGTTTAATGGGAAGATACCAAGATCAACCATTCTGTGATAGACTAGGTACTGGTGGTTCAGACTGAATAGATGCTATTAACCATAGTTTTAGATTGTCCTGTATTTTTCAAATTTAAGATGAGAGCCAGTTCTCCTATCACTTGGAGCTGGTTCCAGTTCCCCAGATGAGAACATTTATTGGTTATTAAGAGATGTAGAAAACTGAGTTACTGTACAGGCAGCCGAATATTTGGCAGTGGTTAAGAACATAAGAGAAGCCATGTTGGATCAGGTCAATGGCCCATCCAGTCCAACACTCTGTGTCACACAGTGACCAAAACCCAGGTGCCATCAGGAGGTCCACCAGCAGGGCCAGAACTCCAGAAGCCCTCCCACTGTTGCCCTCCAAGCACCAAGAATACAGAGCATCATTGCCCCAGACAGAGTGCTCCATCTAGACCTTGTGGCTAATACCCACTGATGGACCTCTGCTCTGTATGTTTATCCAACCCCCTGTTGAAGCTGTCTACGCTTGTATCTGCCACCAGTTCCTGTGGCACTGAATTCCAGTGTTAATGATTCTTTGGGTGAAGGAGTACTTCCTTTTATCTGTTCTAAGCCTAGCCAACTACCTGACTGGTTTGTTTTACCTGACCATACACTCCTCTTCATGACAATAGCCAAAGGAACAGTAATCAGGCTGGACTGGATATATGACAAATAATAATGCCTACTGCATTCCCATTTGGCTAACGTTTTATATTACTTGGGCTTTTTTGTGAGGCAGCTGAAGTCTCCTGTGTGGGAGAAAATGCGGGATAGCAGCTTTCAAATAAATAAAATCACAGGGCTGAATGCCACACCCATAAACATTTCACCTGTGAGGGTGCCTGAGGAGACCAAAACAATTTCACGCTGAGGGTGGGCCTGATGCACACAGGATCTGTTGGATGTCCTATCCACAAAGCCCACATGTTCGTAAGGACCAAGCTGTGTGTGAAACCAAAGTACGGATGAAGAAGAAGGGATTGGATTTATACCCCGCCCTTCACTACCCAAAGGTGTCTCAGAGCGGCTTACAAACTCCTTTCCCTTCCCCTCCCCACAACAGACACCCTGTGAGGGAGGTGGGACTGAGAGAGCTCTGACAGAAACTGCTCTTTTTTTCAAGGACAGCTCTTGTCAGAACTATGACTTGCCCAAGGTCATTCAGCCAGGTGCAAGAGGAGGAGTGGGGAATCAAACCCAGTTCTCCCAGATTAGAGTTCACGCACTTAACCACTACACCAAACTGAGCAGACAACTGCCAGGAGTACAACACCCGTTTTGGGAGCTGCTGTGATTGTGGGAACTATAGCGATTCCACGTGAGGGAGTGAAATGTGTACCTGTGGAGTTCATGTGCTGTGCTCTCCACATGAATGTGGGAAAGCACAACGCTTAGGCAGCACCTAAAAGGGATGTTGCGATCCTTGATCAGTGTTCTGGCTATTTTTTCACATTGCAGACTCCAAAACATAATTAATACCCCTTCCCCCCCACACAAAATCACTCTAGGTGATGCACTTGGGATATGATCTTATCCTCCTAGGCATTCTCTGATTATTTTTTACCATTCCCCAGTATTAGTTTCAGCAAACTAATTGTACCATTGGCACTCCTTTAGACATGCGGTTCTTAAGACTAGAAAAGAGGAAGATACATGGCAATATAACCACCACCAAGTATCTGCCCACCTGCACAATAACTCGGTTTTCTACATCTCTTAATAACCACAAAATTTTCTCATCTGGGGAACTGGAAACAGCTCCAAGTGATGGGAGAATCAGCTTTGATCTTAAATCTGAAAATGCAGTTCTCGGACTACCGCTGAAGAAGAGCGTACCAAGTCACACCTACTCAAGTCACAGAACGCAGGATTTCCAAAATTTAGACTCCTTGGCTGGATGCTCTGGATGGGCAGACATGCCTCTTAAAAAGTAGAAAAGAGCAAGAGCCCAGTAGCACCTTAAAGACTAACAGAATATGGGGCAAGGTATGAGCTTTCATGAGTCACTACTCATTTCTTCAGATACCTTAAAAACTGTTTGGCACAGATCGTGGGCAGACGTGCAGCGGAAACAAGGCAGTATTTACCATCTAACTGGCAAAGACAGCAATCTCTCCTGCAGCACCCAGCAGGACCATAGGAAACAGCCAATGGTGCTACTGTGCTCCAGATAAACACTATGCAATCCCTAGCAAGCACTCAAAACCAAGATCTCTCTTGTCAAAATGTTCCTGATTGGAGAAGCTGATGAACTCCAAAAAAAATATATATATCTCTGCAGCAACTCCCAGCTTTGCATAGAGACTCCCTGCCTGTGTGGCTAATCAAGTACTTAAAAAAAAAAGATGTAAAGATAAACAGGATACAGAAGACAGAAGCGGCTTTTGGAGCACCCTACTTCAAGGCAAGGATCTTCAAAGGCGCTCTGACTGCAGCTTCTTCTTTTGTCATGGAAGACAGCCCTCCCATTATGGAAATTGACAGCTCTCGCATTATGGAAATTGACAGCCAAAGAACCACACAAAGAATAAGAAGGTCAAAGACAGAAAGAATTCTGCCTGAGAAGACACAGATAGAGAGTGGCACCGTATTTGGCCAGAGGCATAGCTTTAAAAAAAGAAGATGACTTTTGACCATTTCTTTTCAACAGCCCCTTCATTCCTGACACTCAAATGCAGCTATTTCATCCGCTGTCAAAGCCTTCTCCCCTCCCCCTTCCTCTAACCTGTTTGTGCCCAGACCCTGAGGCGATGGTTTGGGGTTGTGGATTTTTTTAAACTCTCAGAAGAAAGTTGCCCGCTAGTTCCTTCTTTTGATTTGCCTCCTTAGCCTGCAATATCCCTCAAGGGTGATCAAAGCAGGAGGAGGTGTCAAGTTCGTGAGCTTGCAGATGGAAAAGCGAGGTTAAACAGAATGCTTTGAAATCCACATTGAAAATGGGAGAAATTGGATGGAATAGGATCTTCATTCGGCAATCACAACACTCCAGTCCCTGTAAACTAATGGCACTTAAAGGAGAGGGGGGGGGGGCAAGTACTAACATGTAGAAAAGTTGAACATTAAACTTTTGGAGCAGAAAAGGGCAAGAGTCCAATAGCACCTTAAAGACTTAGCAAAATTTGTGGCAGGCAGGGGGTGAGCTTTCGTGAGTCACAGCTCACTTCTTCAGATATCTGAAGAAGCGAGCCGTGACTCACGAAAGCTCGTGCCCTACCACAAATTTTGTTAGTCTTTAGGGTGCTGCTGCCCAGCTGAGTGACCCTAAACCAGTTTTGTGCTGCCTCACGCGGCTCCCAGAGTGCTTGGCACCAATTCTCCCTCACAGCTGTGGAGTCCTGTGAGCAAAAACTCTACTTTCTGAGCTACTGGCATTAAAGTTATGAGGTGATTTTGCTACTGCATAAATTAGTTTGCTCTGGAGCCATCCTTCCTGAGCTAAAACAAAAATGTGTGAGCCAAAGGCTCAAAAACGGTGAGCTGGCTCACACTGACTCGGCTTAGAGGGAACACTGCTTGGCAGTCTCTCCCCTCCTTTACAACCATTCATTCTTTCACAGGCTGCAGAGTCTGCAGCTGTTTGGGCGCCTCGCCCACGGAATCAGAACTATTCTAGAATAAGTGACCCGAAAGACGGATTCACAGGTCCATCCGCTTAAAAAAAAGGGGGGGGGGACTGGTTCAACCAGCCCTTTAGGATGGACACACAAACTACATAAACCAACCCTTAACAAGAGCAGTTCTCTACCTGGCCACAGTCACAGCCAAGACAGCTAACTTATATTGAATGGCCCTGTCTTTCCCCGCGGACTTTCCATTCGACCTGGAAAGAAGACTTTTCCCCTCCTAATATTTCTATAAACAGGACAACGCAGAAGATAGGAGCGCCAGAGGCAGATCAGAAAGCTGTTAGCTGCATCCAAACTTGCTCTAATGGCACATGGCACGGAGGGCCAACCGGCAGCCGGAGGGCGCTCCTGGACAGAGCATGGAAGCCAGGATATAATGCAGGCTCGGGGGGCCTAGACTCCTGCCTGCCTCTCCAGTGCTGAGTTTACCACCTGCTTTGCAATTCTGTAAGTTTAGAATTCTGCCGATGCAGAAGGGGTTGCATATGTACTTCAGACCTCACATAAGAAGAGGCGCCCCAGGGATCAGTGATGGAGCCTCTGTTTGGCAGGCTGAAGGTTCTGGGTTGGCCCCCTGCCATCTCCGATTAAAAAACCAGCCAGTAGGTGATGTGAAAAACTTAAAAAGAGTTGCTGCCAGTTAGGACAGACCATCCTGACCTTGATAGACCAGTGATCTAATCGCATCTCTATCCCACCCCTCCTACACAAGAACCCAGGGTGATCTTTCCTCCAGAAACAATGCAGACCCCGCTTGTCTTATGGCTAGGTGACTTTGGGCCAATCACACACTCTCAGTGTGGGTTGTGAGGATAAAACTGAGAAAGGGAGTGTGAGGGAAGCCGCTCAGGGTCGCCACTGGGGAGAAACACAGTGTACAAATGAAGCAAACCAAGAAATTAGACCTTCCCAATTCAGGAGCCAAAGCCAATGCTCTACCCAAGTGCCCAGGGACTTTCTCTGGCAAGCATTTTGTCGCTGCACGCCAAGTGTTCAGAGGGAACACGCTGGAAACTTAGGCAAGACCCAACAGAGACCGCCGCTGCCAAAGAAAAGGACTGGCAAGTTTCTGGCACTAACAGGCCTCCAAAAAGTGGCCTGAAAATGTCCTGCCTTCACTTTTTAGGGATGATTTCCTTCTTTGGGTTTCATTTTGCTGTGATTTTTTCCCCTCAAACGTACAATGACTCCACATGCCCCAGAGCTGTATAAAGATGACCTTGCTCTCTGAGTACTTTCATCCTCATGATACCCACCTCCTTGAGGATAATAAGGTGGCGCGCTATAGAAGTCCAGTTTATCTTTAATGTCATCTTCGTTTTCTTTTTCCCACTGCAAGCCTACTTTCTTCCAGTAACTCAGAGCCAGTTCCCTGAAGCGTAAAGACAAAATCATCACAAAACAGGACTTGTTGTCAGCCATCGTTGGAAAGGTCCCTGCGAGGTGTCACACGAAACTCGAGCTCTCTTCTGAACTTGCCTGAAAAATCTTTATAAGGAATTACTTACTCCAGGGCATTTCCCAAGATCATCGAGACTTCAGTAGTCTAAAAATAGTCCAAGTTCTCTGACAGTAAGTCAGATGCATTCGTGAACAGCTATAAAAGCTGTTCCAGCTGAACAAAGATTTTTACTTTATGCTTAGATTTGAGCCCAGTATCTCTATCTGTCTATCAAGTACCGCTCATACAGCTATCGCCTCAAGCAGAAGTTAGAACCAAAAGTTATTTTAAAAGACCTTACTCGGTATTCTTTCTCTTATATTTGATTACTGCACCTATGAATTTTGCCACTGAGAGGGTGACACAATCATCTGTATCCAATAGTAGCCGTAACACCTGGGCTCGCCCATTGAGCAATAATCCATAATCACATATTTGATGGTTTCGATTGTATCATATAAGCATCTGAAAGGAGGACGAGGAGGAGGAGATTGGATTTATACCCCGCCCTTCACTACCTGAAGGAGTCTCAAAGCGGCTTACAATCTCCTTTCCCTTCCTCTCCCCACAATAGACACCCTGTGAGCAATGCTCCCTCTAAGCTGCGGAGTCTTGTGAACAAAAATTCTACTTTGTGAGTTACTGGCATTAAAGCTGTGAGCGAGCGATTTGGTTACTGCATAAATTAGTTTGCTCTGGAGCCATCCTTCCTGAGCTAAGGCAAAAATCTGTGAGCCAGAGGCTAAAAAACTGTGAGCTAGCTCACACTAACTCAGCTTAGAGAGTACACTGCCTGTGGGGTAGGTGGGGCTGAGAGATCTCTTTCGAGGACTGCTCTTGAGGGAACAGTTCTGAGAGAAGAGAACTGTGGCTTGCCCAAGCTCACCCAGCAGTTGCATGTGGAGGAGTGAGAGAATCAAACCCGGATCTCCCAGATTCTTTTGTCCGCACTCCTAAATACTCCACCAAACCAGCTCTCTACACCAAACCAGCTCTTAAGAGTATGATACTTTATTATATCTGCCCTCCAAAACTGCTGAGGGAAGGACGTTCATTTTTGCCAAACTAAAAGCGCTTCTTAAGTTTTGGGACTCTCAATTGATAACATTATTTCAGCAGTTGCATTGGGAGGGCAATTCCCAAATGGAGTGTCGAACATACACTGTCCAGTAGCTCTTCAGAGATCAAACCAGAGTTTCAGGGTGTACGCTACCCACTGAAACTTTACTTTATGCTCTCATATTCCCAGTTCACTGATTCTCAAATGGCTGGTCCACATGTGCATGCTTACCGGCCGCAGCGTGACGGTCATCTGCACATATGAATGAGCCGTTTACGAGAGAAACGCCTGCAGTGAGAGCGTTCACGCCGCCAGCTGTCAGCTCGCACACACTGCATGTCTCCAGCAGAGAAACGTTATGCATCTGGCTGAGAGTCTTCAATTGATGAGAGGCTTACTCGCATGCGCGAATGACGGAGTGGGGATACCTTAGGGACGCTTAACAGCTGCTAGGAGAGAGGCAAGTGCACACTACCCGGATCTGTGTGGGCACTGCTGATGAGCAGATGCAAACACAGGAGGCTTCTGACTGGCAAAGGAATGTTGTGCCCACTGTGTGCCCCGACCCCTGGGGTTAACAATGAATGGTGGGAATTTAACAAGAACCCTCCCCACCATCAATTTTCTAAGTCTTGGGGATTTCCTTCCACAGATATCTCAAAGTCTGGAGTGGAGTCACATGATCTTAATCCACCTGGCCCCATAGCCCGCATAAGCAGGAGCCCAGGCCAAACAAGTCTAGCTTTGCTCTAGCGTACAAGCAGACAGAACAAACGGACTCTCATCTTAGAGCACCTGCGTTTTCTTATTTGGATGACCTTTCGTTTCAAAAAGCTTATCCCTGCCTAGAGATGTAAAATTTCCAGAAATTTTAAAGCTCGGAAAAAAACGGAAATTTTCGGAAAAATTGGAAAAATGCTACATTAGCATTTCTTTTGTCTTTTCCAGATTGAAAGTCATTTGTTACTTTAGGAAAATAAAATATGACTATGGACATTTTTACTTGGCATGAAATTATCACAACTAGCATATTAGAAATATAGTGTGTCCAAACAATTATTTCAAACAGAATACCCACCCACATGCAAAAACAAAACTGAAACTTTTTTATTTTCTTCTGACAATCACACCTCCTAAAGGAAGAAATGCATCTTGTTCTTGCATTGGAGGGTTCAGTTTGTAACCTAGGACTTGCTTGTCCTCAGTGCACAGAAATTAGATCAATCTGATACCATATATATATATATTTTAGAAATGATTTGGAAAATATTTGAACACCTTGTCTTAAAATATTTTATTCATCATGTTAAAATAAAACGTTCCATAATCTTTTTTTTTTCTTTTTTCAATTTTTCCAATTTTTTGGAAAAAAACAAAAAGGCTTCAGAAAATTTTTCCGGGTTTTTTTCGGGCCTTCACATCTCTATCCCTGCCCACCCACCCAACTGTGCAGGGACGATTCTAAAGCAACCAAGCGGTGGGAGTGTCAGGACGGTTCTCCTGTAACCTGGGCGGCCCCGCCCTTACCGGTTCTCATGCATTTCATCCGCAAGGCCGCTGAGCAGCAGAGGGACCAGCTTGTGAAAGAAAGAGTACCGGTCTCGTAGATGCAGCAGCCACTCCCCCATGACGACGATCACGGCTTCTCTAACCTAGAAGCAGCCAAAGAAGAAAGGAAGAAGCCGGCATGGGAGGCTGCATGGGTCCCCCACCCAAGTACAAACCAGGGCCGACCCTGCTCAGCTTCTGAGATCTGACGAGGTGGGGCCATCCTGGTCAGGGTGGATGAACCTTATAAATTCACAATGTCTAACCAAGAACTTCTAACCAAGCATACGACAGCATCTGCTGCCACTAAGCGGAAAGGAACTTCGTCAGCGACTTCACTATTGCACTGAAAAAAGATTGAAAACTCCCTGCTTCCCCACCCCACCCCCCCAAAAAAAAACTTTCAGGGGAGCTTCCAGACTTTTATTCTATATTATAAGGCTTTGGCTGCTGTCCATGACCATATCAAGCCAGCAGAGCCGCGCTAACACTTGACTGATGCCATGGGCTTCCTAAACGCCTGACTTGGAGGGGGCTGAATCGCACAAAGGAACAATTTCTGCTGAAGTCAAGAGGGGCTTTTTCCCCTCCTCCGACAAGGTCTGGGATCTAAAGAGGCCTACACGTGCACCCAGAAAGCCCTAAAATGCTCAGATGTACATCAGGGGGCTTTCACCTGCACCCATTCTCTGACACTGCTCTGGAACGTCACGTGGTCTTCAGGAATGGCTTTTCAGGGACAGGGAGGGGCGGGAAAGGCCTGGAATTCACGCTCAAGAGCAGCTCTTTGGATCCTGTCAATACCTGCTAAGGTGCTTAAGATGAAGAAGAAGAAGAGGAGATTTGATTTATACCTGCCTTTCACTACCCGAAGGAGTCTCAGAGCACCTTACAATCTCCTTCCCCTTCCCTTCTCCATAACAGACACCCTGTGAGGTAGGTGGGGTTGAGAGAGCTCTTTTGAGTTTGGCATGAGGGCGAAGGTGCCACCCTCCAATCACCCATTTGCCCTCTTGTAGTGCATTACTGCTGAATAACTGCCTGGATAGAACAATGTACTTTTGTGCAAAGGGAAATCCCCACTACCCCATCAGTCGGAATTGTCACAGTACCAACAATTCTTGCCGAATTGTGAGCCATTTGCATTGTGAGCTGCTTTGGGAGCCAAGCTGACTAAAAAGCGGGATATACATCTAAAAAAAACCCTCTTCTTTAAAAAGCCGTCGGAATCCATCACTAACGGCGATCAAAATTAATCACTAGCAGTTCAATGACAGCGGCTGCATGTGAAGACCGGACTGTTCAGATATAACTCAAATGTGAAGTTTACCTGCGGGATGCTGTCAAAACATCGCTGGGCGAGATGAGAAAGCACATCGTCCAGAGACTTTGCATTGCCAAACTGAATCACGGCTCCCGTGGCCTGAATCACAGCAACGCGGACCCGGAAGTGCTGGTGGGAAACGGACTGCATTAACGGGCTGATCAAGCTTTCTGACTGCATGTGGAAATGTTCTGGTTGAGAGAGACAGAGAGAGAAGAATTCAGTTACACTTTAGAGCCACCTGTGGACTTTGCTGGACATACGGTTCGTTGCAAACACCTGTACGAAATACAGTAGAAGAGAGCAAGAGTCCAGTAGCACCATAAAGACTAAACAAAATATGTGGCAGGAGATGAGCTCTTGTGAGTCACTGCTCACTTCTTCAGATACTTCGTAGGTGAAGAAGTGAGCAGTGACCCAGTTATGAACAGAGACCATAATTCCCACATTTGGAATAGTCTACAGATATGGGCAACATGCTCCTCACTTGCTACCTATATGTAATGGTTGATGACTGTTTCAATGCACCTGAAGAAGTGTCCATCCACACAAAAGCTTATACCCAGAAATAAACTCTGTTGGTCTTAAAGGTGCCGCTGGACTCAAACTTTGTTCTACGGCTTCAGACCAACACGGCTGCCCACCTGAATCCAAGCAAAACTCAATTATTCAAGACGGCTTTTCTACGCAGGCAATACGGTTGCACTGTACAAGACTTCACAAAGTTACTTGGACAAATTATTAGAGTAGACCTGACACCTCCTGTCCACACATGCTTAAGGCTAGCAGTTCAATGTTTCATTAGCAGTGCTACTTAAGAATACCTGTTCCAATGCAATAGAACAAAGTCGGAGTCCAGGGGCAACTTTAAGACCAACAAAGTGTATTCACAGAAAAGCTCCCGCCCAGAATTAAACTCTGTTGGTCTTAAAGGTGCCCCTGGACTCGAGCTTTGTTCTGCATGTTTTGTGTTTATTGACTGCTGACCTTTATTCAAACTAGTTATAGGTAAAACTGGTATCAACCTACTTTAAAGCTACGACAAAGACACTATGGAGAGGAGGGGAAGCAGATCTATGTGAAAAAAGGCCGGAACACAAGGAAACAACAGAACAATATTGACAACCAACTCCTGAGCCAAAATATAGCTAAACAAATGAACCCAGTCACAGCTGTAGTTTTTAGACAGAGGGAAACTGAAAATAGAGCCTCTTAAGAAAAATATATATACATGATTGTCTGCAATCAGCGAACACAAAACTAAGTGCTTTTGCACCAAGGGACCATATCAATTTCATAGAAAAGGGCCAAACCATGACATTTGTTGGGCAACCCTGGGCCAACCACACCTCTCCCCGCTAAGCCTACATCACAGGGTTGTTGCAAACAGTGCCATGGGGCAGAAAACATTCCAAAAAATAATAATCCCATGCTATATTCTCTTGTGGAAACATTTCACCCTTGTGTAGCTAAATATAGTGAGGACTGTTGTGCTGTAAATCAAAGGCCTAAATGTAGGATATTAACCGCTGCCGGGAGCAGCTGATTTATACCACTGAAGTGTGCCACCGCCCCTACCTGGCATGAGTTTAGCACATACTGGAACGGAAACTAATTGCCATCAGGTATTTTAAACTGGTCTTTTAAATGCAAAAGATTAGAACTAACTTTAATGGTGTTTTTATGGAACTGTTTCATTGCATATTATGGCGGAAGCCACTCTGAGCCCGCTTGCAGGGTACGGCAGGATAAAAGTCCCCCCCAAAAAATAAAAATAAAATAAAGTATGAAGCCTGGAGATGGTATATTTGCCTCCTTTTAATAACATTATTTATTTAAATTTGAATCGGAACATTTTCTGTTTCAAATGTTCCCAGAAATACCACATCACTGGTTGTCAAGATAAACTAGAGGTGTTAACACTGAGTAGGTGGCTTTGAGCCAGTCCTTCTCTCTCTCTGCCTAGCCTACCTAATGCCAGTTTGGTGTAGTGGTTAGGAGGATGGACTCTAATCTAGGAGAACCGGGTTGGATTCCCCACGCCTCCACATGCAGCTGCTGGTGTGACCTTGGGTCAGTCACAAGTTCTCTCGAATCTGTTCTTGAGACAGCTCTCTCAGCCCCACCTACCTCACAGGATGTCTGTTGTGGGGAGGGGAAGGGAAAGGGATTGTAAATTGCTCTGAGACTCGTATGGGTAGTGAAGGGCAGGGTATAACTCCAATCTCTTCTTCTACCTCACAGGGTGATTGCAAGGAACTGTGAAACTTACTGGGTGCTCCTGAACCAACCCGTCCTCCTAGGCTAGGCTACCCTAGACCCCCCCTGTGGCATGGAGTTCCCTCAGCAAACACTTCCAGCTAGGAATGTCAGCCTCCAGGTGGGACCTCAGGATACCCCAGAATTATGGCTCATTTCCAGACTACAGAGGTGAGTTCCCCTGGAGAAAATGGGTGCTTTGGAGGGGAGACTCTGTGGCACTGTACCCCACTGAGGTCCCTGCCCTCCCCAGGCTCCATCCCCAAATCTCCCAGAGCTTCCCAACCTGGATCTGGCAACCCTATCCCCCCCCCCTAAAGGGCGGGGGGGGGGGGACCTGGCAACTCTAGCCACTAGCCTAGCCTACCTCACGGGGTGGTTGCAAGGAGCTGTGAAACATACAGGGTGCCCTCTTGCCAGCTCTTTCTTCTCCTAGGGATGCCAGCCTCCAGGTGGGACCTGGGGATCCCCTGGAATTACAGCTGATCTCCAGAGGACAGAGATCAGTCCCCCTAGAGGAAATGGATGCTTTGGATGGTGGACTGTGGCACTGCGCCCCGCTGAGGTCCCTGCCCTCCCTACGATCTACCCCCAAATCTCCTGGATCTGGCAACACTAGGATCCAACATGGCAACCTAGATATTAGCGGAGCCAACCTCACAGGGTAGTTGCCCTTGAGCCAGCCAGCCCTCCTTCCTCTCTCCGCCTGGCCTACCTAGCGGGGCTGTTGTTGTTGTACCCAGGCGCCCCCTCCCTCCCTCCCGCTCCGGCTCCCCTCCCGCACCTGGCAGGGCCTTGGCGGCTTGGGCGGCCACGGCGCAGGCCTCGCGCTTGGCCTCGGGGAAGGGGTCGAGGAGGGCGGCGCGGAGGACGCGCACGGCCTCGGGCAGGTAGGGGGCCAGGGCGGCGGCGGGGCAGAGGCGCAGGAGGAGGCCGAGGAGGCGGAGGAGGCCGAGGCGGAGCTCCTCGCAGGCCTCGCGGGAGTCGCCGGCGGCGCCGGGCCCGGCCTCGCAGAGGCGGCGGGCCAGGGCCGGCATGAGGACGGGCAGGGCCTGAGCGGGCTGGGTGCCGCGGCCCAGGCAGTGGCGGAGCAGCTCGAAGGCCAGCTCGTGGTAGCGCTCCGTTGGATCGGCCAGTGTGATGGGCGGGCTGCTGGGAGCAGGGGGCGTGGCTTGTTGCATGTCCCCGCTTCCTGGGCTCCTTACTTCTGGAGCTTTGGCCGCCGCCGTCTCGGCCGCCTTCGGGTCCGCCGCTGCTTCCTGCGGCTCCGCCATGCTCGTTGCTAAGGCCGGGAAGCCGCCAGGCCGCGTTGCTAAGGACTCGGCGCCACGTGGCCCGGCCGCCGCCGCGTCCCGGATTTTCCCGTCGCGTTCTTCCTTTACGACGGCCGGGCGACGCGCTTTACGGCGAGGCCGGCAAGCGAGGGGAAAGTGGTGGCCTCTCGTTGCCATAGAGATGGAGCTGAGAGCAGCTTGTGCGTAAACAGGAGGCGAGGGGCCGCTTTGGGTTGCCAACCTCCAGGTGGTGGCTGGTACTTCTGTTTTTGCAAGTGATTTTCAGGTGACACCAATCCGTTCCCCTGGAGGAAATGGCTGCTTTGGAAGGAGGACTCTATGGCATTATACCCTCCGCTCCCCAAACCCTGCCTTCCTCAGGTTCCAGCCCTAAAATCTCCAGGTATTTCCCACCCCTGGGACAGCTTACATTTTTTGCAAAACGCATTCCAACAGAAGCCTTTGTGAATCAGAGGGTCAGTGTTTCACGAAGGCTTATGCTGGAATGGATTTTGTCCCCCCCACCCCCAATTCTGTTTTGTTCGTGGGGTTGCCAGCCTCCCGGTGGGCCCACGAGAGGAATACTGTGTGTAAACCCTTCACGCCAATTTTGTATATTAAATAAAGTCCGACGATTATATTAAAACTGTACAAATGTATTCTTTCCTTTATAATAATTATTCTTGTTTTATAACAGTTATTCACAATCATTCATGAAGTAGCTTTCAAAACAGAAAACTGAACATTTCATATCTAATGTGCAATAATGCTTCCAATTCTTAACACCTTCAGAATATGAAGGTGTAAAGTGAATCATATAACAGGGAACCATATATTCCATCTCCCGATATTCAACCACAATTCGCAATATACATGAATGTTATTACTCCAGTGCCTTGGAGTACACCCTTCAAAGCAGCCATTTTCTCCAGGGGGAAAAGTCAAGGACGAGAGATCACAGGACAAGCTGAACTTAGTAAGGAAAAGCAACCGTG